CACCAGGGTGAGGTCCCGGATCACCCAGGAGGAGGTGAAGTCTGGGGTGAACCTGAGGAAGCAGACAAGTAGATCCAGAGAGAGAAATTGAAAGAGGAACAAAGGAATAAGGTGAAATGGAAGAGGAAGACGTGGGCCTGACTGTAGGTGAAAAACAGAACCTTCTTAATTTTAACTAACTGACTGATAACAGTCAGTATTAAAGACAAAACATGACTACATTATATTATATATACATTATTCAAATATTAAGCAGCAATGGTTAAAAAAAATCTGTTGTAAAAAACAAAGCAGGCTAAAATTCCACTTACGCAATAGTGATCTCTGAGGAGGTGTTGTGGTCGAGGCTGAAAGAGTGACACTGCAACACCTCAAAGCCAAAACCATGACACTTGTATCCATTTATATTCATCGACACGACTGTCAGAGGAAGCTCTCCTGCATTCTCCACCTTGAAACTTTTTCTGATGGCAAACAGTGGCTTGTTGGTGCGCACACCTAGAAGTGCACAGAAATATTTAGCCATTTCTGAGGTGAAGGCAGCAGCTTAATTTATCTCTGTTACATGAAGCTTCAACCTCACCATCACGACACTCCATTAGAGTTGACTGAGGAACGTTGAAGCGCAGGGAGGCTCCTTGGCCAGGCAGTTTGCCTCCGACTCTTAGCAGCTCTTTGGCCCCATGGCCCTGCACCATCACCATGTCAAACACCGTCAGGTTGTTCCTAACACATGAAACACACACACACAGACCAAGGCCTTGGTCTCACACCTTTGACTTGAGCCATGAATTAACATTACACTCAAAACATTAAAAATGTTTTACAACTAAGAAGAGGTCTTAGTATTTCTCCACTAATGCAAAAGGTTTGAACAAATTCAACCTGTCAATAATAAAGTAATATGAATCGGTACCTGATGATGAGAATGGTAGTGATGGGTTTGTGTTCAGAGGGAGTAAACACCACAGCAACCTCTCTGGTCTCCCAGGGCTTCAGCAGCAGACGCAGGACACCCTCTCCTGTTATGTCCTCGACGTTCTCACCAGCCTGAACACAAACACACAGAAAAATTGGGGAAAGTAAGTAGGGAAGGCAACACAGGCAAGACTGAAGCACAGCAAGAACACCTGTGTTGTCCATGGACCTAATGAATAAGTGAAGTAAGAAACAGACTACATGTCATCAGCCAACAAGATTAAACAGTGTCACAGCTATTCCCAGGAGTGTTTTTAAGATTTACCTTGGGTGGAGAAGCCAACAGAGAAAACTCTGTGGTGCTGATGTTGACAGAGAGTGGAATAATAGAAAACCTGTCAAGCAAAACAAACAAACAAAAAAAAAACAAACACTTTTACTTTAGAGGAATGTGCTGGACCATCATTACACAAAACTGCTGAAGCAGAAAAATAATTTTAATTAAATCATTCTTGTGAAATAAAACATTTTGTGCGTACCATTTGGTTAGGAAATCCAGAGCTTCCAGCGGGGCAGGGTACTGGGAGAGGATTCGAATCTCTACAGAAATTACTGAAGCGGAAGGATTTTTCAGCATAAACGTCTTGACCTGAAACCAAAAACACTTCTAGTAAGACTAATTGTAAAAATAAAACCATCATTTTCAGTAAGGAATCATTTAAGTGTTGTCCACCTTGCTGTCATTGACGGGTGTAGCACCAAAATCCAGAGGAGCTGATGTTTCTACAGGCAGTCTGGGCCACCTGAGAGGGTAAAAGGATTCACATGACTAAAGGTGTTGATGTTGTGTCATGACCAATTACAAATACACAACAGCATGGAAAGGAAAGCAGCATGTTGCATCCAAGACTGACCTGCAAGGCAGGTTGTCTTTGTGGCTCTGCCATCGAGAGCAGAGCTCAGAGGCCAGTTTGTTGTCTATTTCCCAGGACGAGGGGGAAAAGTCTGGGAGGAGAGAGCGCTGCCACTCTGAACAACCTGATTGGACATTAGAGGAAAAAAAATGAATAAATGAACAACGTAAAAACTTCTCTCACTTTGGAGACTATGGTGTGCCATGTCTCACCTGTATCAGACAATCTGAGGGGGCAAGGCTGCCCACACTCTTGTTCTGTCTCAAACACCACATCCCCCTGCTGACAGAATGAAAGCATTAATTTCCACATTTGATCCTAAACCCCAATTCAGCATACTACTTTAACTAAGTGACCAACAGAGCTGCCATTTTACCTTGGAAGCAGTAGAGTTAAAGTAGAGGGGGATGTGCAGAGCTAAGCCAAGGCTGGTATCCAAACTCAGGGTGGACACCTGGTTAACGGGCAGGGCCCTGCTGAGCAGCTGAAGGGACAGGATCCACCAACAACCCTGAGGAACTGTCAGTGGGCCGCTGAAATTCATCACCTGACAGACAGGGGGCAGCAGATAAATTAGTCTCAAATCCTGTCCAGAACTTGAGATCCTTGTGATAAATGAGTGAAATATAGTGTGGCTTGCCCAGATCACTGTTTCTTTGCCATAAACTAACAAGGTGGTTTGCTAATTAACACTTTACCATGGTATAATGAGCTCTGCATCCTATCATCACATGATGAAGCAGTGTATACCTTCATTACTCCCTGCAACTTGTGCGAGAGGCTGGCATTGAACACAGTGAGGGGCAGGAGCGTGGGGTTGGTCAGCCACAGATCCACCTGGTTGGCATCTCTTTGTTTCACTTGGAACAGGCTGAACAAATCTCCCACCATCCATCTGTGCAAAGCAAAAAAAAATTATATAAAAATGATGCCATAATGCTTAGTTTACATTTACAATTTCAACCACCAGTGAGATTTTTTATATTTAATGTAATAAACCGTTGTTTTATTTTCATCAGAACGTGTGAAAATGGCAAAAGGCCTCCTTGTTACCTGGGTATGATCTGTAGCCCAGGGAAGTTGTAGGCTGTCCTGTTCCCCAGAATTTTTAAACTGATATGACTGATGCATTTTCTTCCATGGGCTGGCAATGAACCTGATATAAGAAACAAAACTCCTGTTCACCAAATCTTCTAAGATATTTTGGTCAAATGTTATTGCACTTAAAATAAATTATATGAGCTGAAATAAAAGGAGCATTCACCTCTGCAGGCGAGGGTAGCCACTTCAGTGAAGTTTTTGGCCTCTGGTCTCAGGGCAACTTGCTGAAATTCCAGGCTGGCCTCCACTTCTGATAGCACCCGCACATCCTGGGAAGATAAAACCTCTGGTCAAAGCTGGAATTAAGCTGCTTAAAGACATGATCGAGCAAAACAAAGAGAAAGCCTCACCTTTACATATAGTTTCTTGCCTCCAGAATTTAACATATGCACCCCTATTTTTGGATCCCCTGTAGAAAATAAGGACAGACAAACAAAAACTACTAAGTTTACACAGTTAAATGCCGTGGTGGAAGACGTACTCAGATTTTTTACCTAAGTATCAACACAACCATGTAAAAACATGCTGCTACAAGTAAAAGTCCTGCAATCAAAATGTTAAGTTAAAAGATATTTGCAGCAAAATATACTTGAAGTACCAAAAGTAAAATTACTCATCAGTCAGAAGGCACATTTCACAATAATGCATTTTTGGGATCATAATTACTGAAGCTCCATTGCATTCTTTCAAAGTCATAAACTTGCTGAGACAGAGACAGACTTCTTTTAATAAAGCTCTTATAAAAGCAAAAGTGAAAAATGACCCTCTAACTTCATAAATCCAGTTTGACAACAATTAAAACCCCACTATATGCCTAAGCCACAGTGTACTGCTGAGTCTAGGCAAAATTGAAAATTAACATCATGACAAGTGTTTACAAATTCAAACTGGGTTTACTGATGTTATTCAAAGCCTGTATGACAAAACTATTTACTGTAATTCACATGTGTGGATGAAAACACTGTATAAACACCAATATTTGATTTCAAGGGTATATGATCTTTAGCCTTTGTTACTGTCAAGTCAACGCAGGAAGGCAGAAATTGTGTCATCATTTCTCTGTCAGAGGTCTGTGTCACTTCTTTCTAAACAACAGCATCATGAACATTATGCAAGTTTTCTAAGTCCCCGTGAATCAAAGTAAACTTAACTGAAAAGGGAAAAAACAGCCACAGGAAATACAGCAACTTCATTATCTAATGACCAAATGTAAACACTATAACCTTTTGAACCTTTGCTCTGATAGGAAACCCCCACAGAAACAAGCCTCAAAGATGAGACATTCACTGAGGTAACGACCGGAGGCTGATGAAGCAGCAATGCACTGGTGTGCAGTGGTGGAATCCAGGTACATTTACTCAAGTACTTTAATGCTATTTTGAGGTATCTGTATTTTACTTGAGCATTTACATTTTCTGGAGCTTCATGTACCTTAACTACATTTTGGAAGTAAATACTGTGCTTTTTACGCCACTGCATTTATCTGATAACTGCGGTTACTTTTATTATTTATGAATGACAAATTAGTCATAATCAAACTTGGCTTCGAACACACATGCCCTGTCACATTTCCACAGTAAATTTGCCTCCAGATGTGGAGTTAGAGGGGTCTGAGACACCCACCTACTGTAGATGGTCCTGCGGTGGGGGCTACCAGCAGCACTAGAATGTGCTCAATGATATAAGGCTTGAGTTTGTCCAGGTCAGCAGGCTGGTCACCACGTGTCGACAGATTAATCTGCAGACTGAGGCGTTCCTCACTCTTGAGGCAGGACCCCTGGGACAGGACAGGAAAGGCATACCAGTCACACACCAGAGTAAGGCCAGAAGGAACAAAGACAAACATGTAAACAATGAGGGGTAGTTGAAGAGTGAATAGACAAATAAAAAAGGCAATCCAGATGTTAAGAGAGAACAAAGATAGGAATTTTACTATTTAACTAGCTGTTATGGTGGTAGTGGAAAGAAAATCAACAGCCATGGGAAAGTGTGAATTATTTTCTTTGCTGTTGCCCAACAGAGTAACCAGATATACACTGTACAGAAACTACTACATCCATCCTTCGATCCCACCCTGCAGCTAAACTCCCTTGAAGATGATAGATCAGTATTAGAAGTCATCTCCCTGCAAACCAGAGCTTGTCTCGGTGGGTGAATAGTCACTTGGAAACCTGTAGACTGATGCCTTGGCTTGGTGCTGGAGTTCAAGGCCTGCAAACCTAATCCCTTAAAGCCAAGGCCACTGCTAACCTCTTGCAAGGCTCCTTTAATCTGTAACCAGGATCGACCAGTTCACAACTTTGTTAGCCAAGCCTTGAAAAAGAACTGAGGAGCAGGTGTTGATTTTGAATACGAGCCGAAGGTCACAGCTGTGTCACTCGTGCAACAAAACATAATGATTTAAGATCATATAGTTATGACAATATAGTTAGGTTGTCTGTAGCCATCTCTTGCATCATGTGTATTGTGCCACATAAGCACTGGGAGCCCTGCATCAATTATAAAGCCTCTTGAGGAAGCAATTAAAAGTCTGGCAAGAGATCTCGCCCTCCTCGGGGGTTCTGAAAGCAGAAGGTGCTCAGATGACGAGACCAGCTGTCTGTTGAAGTTTTAGACTAACTGGCCTTCTGCTGAAAGGAGTGGGCGTGAAGAGAGCAGTCAGAAAGGCTTAGCTCCATTTTTGCAAATTAGAAACAAACTAAAAAATGGTGTAGAATCACACATCATAAAGAAAGAGTATGCTGTGAACTGTTCTTTTTTTAAACTTCCATTTTTTCTTAGTCTGCCTGCAAATTCAAGAGCGCATTCTTTATTTAAGAAATGTGATTCAGAGACATTGATGAACTTCAGTGTTAAAGTTAGGTATTTACACTTGTTTCAAGTAAAATTAAATATTTTTCTCTCCATACAAAACAACAGGGGAACCATTATTTTGACAGAACCTCTGAGTTTAAAATTCTGAAGTTATGGATCTTTTGTACCAGGAAACAAATGTTCGGTTAGGACTGACAGTAGCGGCTACTGAACTACAGAAATAGATTTATACCTGAGGGCTGTTGAACAAACTCTTCGGTAAGCTGCACTCCAGGAGTAGACCCAGTATAGTTATGTTGGAGGCATCTTCCTGCACGAGGAATAACGCAAGACACAGTGAGGTCAGAGATTAAATGGCTACAATATGCAACTTTATGTAGCACTAGCGCTCTGCTCCACCCAGCACTTCCTCTCCCGGCTCCAGCAGAAATAACTGAAAATCTCTGATTGGTTAGAGAGGTCAATCCTGCTCAAAACCTTTTAGCAGCTAATACTGCTGCCAGATCGTACTAGCTGGTCCTAGCTGTTCACCGAGTCTGGGTCACAGGAGGCTTTGACAGCACCTCTCCACATTTAAGCATGTTCTGGAGCAGATTTCTACAACTAGGGCTGTACCCTAGAATTTTGTCAGTCAGCTCTTCAGTGCGATTATTCTTCTTTTTCTTTCAAAAAAGGAAAAAATAAAAAATAAACTGTCAGAAAATCAACTGCCATGAATTTCAGTGATGACTGCGACCACATTAACATCGGTATTTAAATGCAAAAGAGACAGCTGCATATGATGCAATATTTAAATTGTGACCTATTTAAATTGCCCTCCAGTTTGCAGAACGCTAAGGATAGAGGTGGATGAAAAAGCAGGAACTAAATATCATGCGTTTTACTGCACAGAGACTGTTTTAACCATATGCTATAAAGGTGGAAGCTTGCTGAGAGAAAAACAGGCCACATCAGCACAAGCAGCAGCAGCAGCAGCCTTCTGAGTGACTGAGACCTGAAGAGTCTCTGCACTTGGCCAGCTGACATTTTGCAACCGTCACCCCACTTCCTGTTGTAGAGACAAGAGCTCCTTTCAGATAGCTTTTCACACACTTTCACTACCTTCGATTGTTTCTAAAACTAGGTGCTAATTTGTCGCTGTTTTTCAGTGTTGTTGCAAGGCTTTGAAATTTGTATACATATAAATAAAAAAAAATACATAAAGCTCATGTCATTTTAAATAAAGTGGTAATCTATTTTACAATCATTTACATTTTTTAACCAGGTAAAATGTTTTTTTTTTGGACTCCTTTATGTTGACTGCACACATGTTCAGTAACTACACAACAACCACTCAGCATAAAGACCCTGAGTATGTATGTAGCATTTGTTTTTAATCGACGCTGGCAGGAAAGGGGAAATCAGCTGCTTCAAATGATGAGCTGTGGCCGAGACAAACCAACACCCAGACATTTGAATACATACCTGAGTTAGGGTCAGCTTAATGCTCTGGATGTGAGGGAATATTAGGAGTCTATCCTTTCTTTGGACAGACTTTAATGAACCCTGGTGAACTCCCACACCAAATACCTGGAAAAGGAACAGTTAACATTAACAAACAGATTCTCAGCACCATGTGCATTATATTAAGTCCAGGCAGTCAAACAAAACAAGGAGACAGCGTCACTGAGAGGGCCTGAACTAAACCTCTGGACAAGCTGGTTACATGGTAGCTGATGCTTTGTTGTTATGAATAAAGAGAAACATAAAGCTAATAATGTAGCGTCTCAAAGGAAACGGCGTTTTGGGATTTTTTTTTTTTAACAAACACAAACACAGGGTAAATTATGCAAGTTTCAGAAGACTTCCAAATTCTATAAGGTAAATCTAGGTAAAACAGAACTTCAAATTCCAAACTGTCTAAACAAACATGCTCTGATTAAATGTGGGCCATCTTTCTCCAGTCACTGGCATGTGCCCCAGTATTGCAGAAAGCCCCAAATGCAGTTTTGAGCTGTATTTCAACTGAGGTTTTTGGCAGCATTATATCAAATGAACAAAAACACGAACAGCTGGACAGATAATGCTGACTTATAAATACCATAAGTGAAAAAGTGAATTAAAAACACAAGTGAATGCCTGAAACATTTATGTCTTTGAAGCATGGAAAGGGAGTGGCACTGTAGAAGGCTGTACAGGAGTGTGTGTCTGTGTGTCTGGGCATGTCTGCATGCCATTAATAAGTACATGTCAGAAACGCTGTGGTGTAGGTTTAATATGAGATGGACTGTAACTACTATTAATGCACATGCAGAAAGCATCACCAAACTTTACATAAGCTGCAATCTGAAATAAAAATTAGAAAATTATTAACAGTGTTAGCCAAGGTCTGAAAGATACACCCTAAAATGGCTAAAGTGGTAGCACAACCGGTTGGGGTAGACAAGACAGACTGACAGACAATAATAAATGCTGCAAGAACAAAAGTGGTGCTTGTGCCTGAGGTAATAGAGCAATACTGAATCATTTTGACTGGAAACAACAACAATTAAACCTTTAGTGTCTTCTAGTACTGCCACTACTGTCTGGAAATAAATGCTGCAGTAGAAGAAACACCACAAGCACCATCATGTGGGGTTTGACCATCATCCCACAAGAACATGGTCTGCGACTACACAACAGGAGGTGTAATAATGCAACTGACCTGGTATGAGAGCAGCCCATGGGCGGATGTGTTTATAAATAATGTGTTTTCTACATTGCCCTCCTCAGACGGGAGGAAAATTAGTTTAAAAGATGCCTTCCCTTTGGGTGGGATCACCTAGGATAGACAGGAAACAATAAGTAATTACAACAGGATACACAAATTATCCCAATGGAGCTTATTCTAACATCATTACTTATGAATATCTTGTGCACCTAGAGGTGTACAATAGGGATGTAACAATTAATGCAATTTCATGATATTGCAATTGAAAATTTTCTTAATGCCATCATGAGAATGTGACGTATCTACCAAGATATTAGATACGGTTATGTCGCTTGTACCAAGTGGGCCATGGAAAAGTAGCCCGCCTCCAAAACAGTTCATTTGCTTGTTCATACTATTGCCGGAGGCGGGCTACTTTTCCGTGGCCCACCCTGTATAACTGTGTTCAGGTTGCAAATTTGAAACAGACACTGCGGATGCTCCATTGTGGACTTTGAGCTTTTGTGTGGCAGCATTTCTGTTTTACCATTTCAAGAAATGACACATCTCGCAGAAACAGTGGGGACACTACACCTTAATGGAGGTAGGCAAACAAGCCGGACACACAAATGCAAAATCAACCACCTTTAAAGTCTTTTCTCTTGAAAATGTAGACCACAGTGTTTATATAAACAAAAACACACCTCCAGCAAGGCACAAATCTCACCTTTACGTGACTTGTACTATTGTATTTTGTCATCTTCTCCTAATTCTGGTGTACCAAGCAGCAATTTGCTCACTACTGCCCCTGGTGGTCGGGGGTGGTGGCCCCAGTTTCAACTGGTCCAGTACTAAGAATCCGACAACCAGTTGGCACGGCTACTAAACAAAGTTAGACCTGCCTAGGGCATACTAAAAAAAAAGATGTTCCACCTGCTGCTATATTATTTTACTGACTGCTACATTATTGTCTGTTTTGCAGTTCAGTCATTCAGTGCCAGTGACAATTCATACCAATTTTTTGCAGGTGCTTTGGTCATGGCTGGCTACTTCTATTTTAATAAAGAAGGAAAGCAGGAGCACCCTCAGTTAAAAACAAAATCATAACATATATGCTTTATTATTTAGTAAATGGCATTTTTTAAAAATAAAATACCATGACAAATATTGTATAGTGGGCTTTTTTCTTCGGCAATATTGTACCGTGAGTTTTTGGTATTGTTACATCCCATGTGTACACGTATGGACACTTACACTTCTGTGAAAGGAAGGTATGTAAAAATGCCTGCTGGATGTAAACATTGACAGCAGTGTCACAGGAACTTCCTGGCTGGGGTTGTGTATATATATGGTTTCAGCTCTTGGCAGCCCCAGCGGCCTGTAACGACAGAAAAGAATCATACATAACTAGGCTCTCTACTGAATGTCTACCTACGGAGCACTAAGGATACACACCAAAATACTACTACCCTATTTTTGGTGTATTGCGGTTTTTAATACTTTTATTTTAAGACTAAGTGTTCTTTAAGGCTTTTGACTTCTTACCTGACTCCAAAGGAGAGCTGCACAAGAATTCCTGTATGCCTAGACTGTCTGTTTATGCATAAATGGCAAATAAAAATCTTGACTTGACTTGAAAAATTCAAGGGCACCAAATCATTCACCACACAATTAAATTCCAATGTTTCCCACAGAATTCGATCCTACTTGTGGTGGTAGCTTGAGGGTGGGGAATGGGGGCGTCATGCTTTCACAACTTTTTTTCTTTAAATATAGTAATACTATACGTCTGTGCTGTTCATCTGACCTTTACCCTTTTGCACTAGCTCTCCCACAGCAGTATGTTGCTCTCCTACATCTGTCTCTGAAGTAAATATTTGAAACAAATCAATTGGATCACTAATCACACTGGTCGGACTGATCAGGTTTCCCATGCTATATATATATATATATACACACAGTGTGCTGCCCTCAGCAACAGCTGTATTTCAACATTAAATTAGCTAGTCTTACTAGGTCGCTAAGAGTTGGATCGCCATGATTGACAGCGCTGTGTTACAAAAACAACACGAGGAGGAGGAGCTGTTCACAGACGGTCTGTCGTCAAGGTTGTCACATGTTTGTGTGTGTGTATGTAAACATCTATATAAAAACACCACCCAATAATATTGTATCCCTCCTCTTACACTGTGGTTTAGATGGACATTTAATCCACCCTGACTCAGGGTTTACAAATTAGAAAACATTTTGGTAACCGGGTCACAGCAAAGGGCCAGTGAATAGCTAGTGTTTTGCATTCTGTCAATACGGGGAAGGCACAAGAGGAAAATTAGCCATTGGTCTCTTTGTTGACAGATGGCTAACAAGTTTGAGCCCTATGTAATCTGAGGCAAGTGCTGGTGTCAGAAGTAAACCACAAATACAAATAAGGACTTAAAGAAAGTGATGAAAAGGCTCTGGGTTGCATCCGCTCAAAGTTTAGCTCTGGTTTTTGCCATTTCTGATATAATCTGCATTTTCTGCTTGATAACACTACAGCTACAAAAAAAAAAAAAACTTCACACAATATAGCACCATATTGCCAGTGCTGTCATGAGCGCATGCTGTGACTTTACCTTTAAGTCTCCAGTGTTCTGCAGTGGCGGAAAGCACATTCGCCAGGTTTTCAGCAGTATGCTGCTCCAGCATTGCTTTAGTCTGAAGAACAGCACTCTGTATTTCCCAGTTGCTTATATAATGGCAGATGACTGTCATATACCATACAATTCAGGTGTAAGTGCTGTCCATGGTCAGAGACACCTTCTCAACACTGTGCAGTCATTTGACTGCACAGCTCAAAAGTGTGTCCCAGCAAACAGGTAACCTCCCAGGAATGTTCCCTAAAGGTTCCATGAAGGTTATGTCGATGACACTTAAAGTAACTTTTACTTTTTCCTGCTAATGCCAGGGAACAAATGAAACCAAAATACAGAAAATGTACCTGCTGACAGTACACACTAAAAGGCTATGTTATTCTTCTGTCAGTAATTGGATGTGTGCACCTGACCTACAAGTCATATAGACCACACTGGAGATAAGGGGGAATTTTACGCAAGTTATGAAGATTTTCCTAAAGTGGCAAATACTAGACTTTAAAATACTTTAAAAAGTACACTGTGCACTTGGGAATTGTAAAAATGTTGTGTGTAACACTGCTGTCATAACACAAATTTGGCAGTGCAGCAGTGGGAGCTATTCTTGGAATATGACAACAAACCTCTACAAGTACCATTATAGGAACCGGTTATTGCAACCCACACCTTTAGTGCAAGAGTAGATTGGTAACCAAATGTTGACTGAGTGAATGTACTCATTTGCAAGGTTTTCTTTGCAATGTTTAGACTGTGGCAGCAGCAAATATCTGGTTATCACAAGGTAGGACGAGATCTGAAAAGATTCATGAGATGTGGTATAAAGGTCACCAGTAGCGTTTTGACATATTAGTCCTGTGTATTTCATTCAACTGTGTATTCAAGTTCAGCTTTGTGTACTTCAGAATAAAAAAATGTTACTTGCTATGATTCAGGGAGGCCAACTGCCCTTGAGAAAAACAGTATAAAGCAGCCTTAATGTAACATTATCCTATCATAAAGGATTCAAATCTACATTATCATTACCATGTACTCGACACTGGCATTTGAGATGTTCTCTAAAGTCTCAACTGAAGCATCTTTCATTTCCTGTTTGTATGTGAGGCTTTGAATTCACTGTACTTTCATTTTAAGAAGCTGATGAACTGAGCGTTGCACTTTCAAACAGGTTTTATCTCGAAAGTTTACATTTATCAGCTGTATCATTGTACATCTTTTAACATTTATTTTTTTCTCCCAATCCACATATATTATTGATTTTGCAAATGCTTTCCAACAGTTCTAATTTTCTTTAGTCTCATCTTCAGTTTTACTAATCAATACTTCTTGGGGGAACCGTCCAGTATAATTGCTACCATTCCCACAGTTTGCACAGACAAAATAAAAAAAAAACTCCTACAAACAGCTGCGTGGGAACTTGTCCCATTCCCTGAAGCAATTAGATTTCAAATGTCCAAATATTTATCGAATACCTTTAGGATTTTTGTTCATTTGCCTGCTTTCTGTATTCCAAATGTATGACATAAAATGTTATAAAATAGATTTGGCTTTTGGCTGGTTGCTTTAAACAGGACCAATGGGACTGTTGTCCAACCACAGCATACATCTGATATTTTGGTTGTTTTGGGAGTATGGAGACAAACAGTGGAGTCCTTTTTGACTGAGGTCAACGCTCTCCAGTATGCGCCTGGACGCTGGGAAAGTGAGCTTATTGCCATACTGGGATATCCTGCCTGTTCCTGCTTTATGAAATCTTTCCTTTTCTGCAGCATGACACTACTGTCTTGTTTTAACCCAGGTTAAAGAGATGGCAAAATGAAGTACATTTTGTTCTTGTTTTATGTTAACTGGTGTGTAACAAAGAATGCCAACATTTTAAGAACAAAATGAAAAGCCCTTAGCTTGTTAAGACACATCACATTAAATTAAGACATGACAGCAGCACTTACTGCGTCCCAAACTCCAACGCTGGGGGCTGAAAAAGCAAAGGCCTCCCATTCTCCCGTGTATATGGAGAGGAGCTGGTGGAGAGAGGAAATCAAAAGAAAAAAAGAAACAACACAATTTAAATGAAGCCTGTGCATGTGAAAATAAATGCACATCCCAATTAAGGTTACACATAGAGGAAACATGGCTCAATTGCGTCAGTTAACACTACGTTTGGCAAACTGAGATACAATGAAAGAACATCAGTAGTACTCGGTGCAATTAAGAGTATTTTGGAAAGAGTTTCACATCTCCTAATGAGTCATTCACGGCTTACAGCTAAATGACTAAACTGTATTTTAATTTAGTCTATATCTAGATTATGTTAGTTATTCCTTAGATGGTATTAAACCAGAACTGCCAGAAAAGTTAACATTCCCACATCTCAAATAAAGGCAAGATACTATTATGCCCCAAGGGCACAACTACTGGTCAGCCCACCTGTAATTTATCACAAGACAAAAAAAATTATGATTGGTTTACCACATTCACTAGAAAGCCATGCAGTTTAAAAAAGGGGGTCATTTTTAACCAGTATTAAGTTTTTTTCCCAACCTGAATGTACTGAACCCACAATATGCTGATATGAGTGTCTTGTACAGACTGTAAACCAACATTGCAGGTGCAAATACAACATGTGCTGTTCTCTTACAACAACTGCACATGTGAGAAAGGCTACATACAAGCAACCAACCACAAGTCATAGTTAAAACAGGCAACTCTTAAAAAAACAACAACAAAAAAAACATCAGAGCTCACATACAACACCAAACAGCTCAGCAACTTAGACATGTCAAGGCAAAGACAAAAATGTCATCGTGTAAAAATTAGGGATGGGCATTTGCTATGGTTTAAGAGTTCATTTAGATCACATGTGGAAAATACTCTAGTTGCCAGTGATGTAGTCCTTTAAAAGATTTTTTCTATAGGCTAATTGCTGTGGGGGGAAAAAAAGAACATGAAACACAGACCCAGGTCCAGAAGCCCACTAAAGCTCAGATGGAAAACACAACACATAATATAGTGGACAAAGACATAACTAAGGCCTAGCCTGGATTCAATAGGCTTTTGTGTATTATTTAACTCTATGCTTCACCTGAAAAGCCAAGCACACAAGGACATAGATGGTGAGGCTCAGCTCTTTCTCAGTTAACATGATTTCAGTTAATGATGTTGACTGGAAAGTCAACATCCTTAACTGAGTATTTCTAGGTCTTATCACAGTAGTGTTTGTTTTGAAAAGTACAGTGTTTTTTAATCAAGCACAATTTATCTTCATTACAAATTACACAATTTAAAGTGCAAAAATACAAAAAGTTAGACTAAACAAAAATATATATAAAATGTAGCCAACTTCAGCAAATACTTGTGGGGCACACAGTGGACAGAGTATGTAACAACACAGATAAAAAGGAGATGAAGTACAGAGTGAACAGCAGGAAGAAGGCAGAATACTCTAAACTGCATTTTCCTGAGCTGACGGTAGCAACACTACAGCCTACCATAACCACTCTTCTTTCAGTGATACTTCCTTAAAACAGACAGGATGAGCAGTCTAAATTTGGGTACAAATTCACTCTGGGAGTGCTTAGAAGTTTCCTCATCTAGTGGCTTCTCTTGGCCATTGTTGCCTGAATTGGGCTCCAAGAGATTAATCACATTAGTAACAGGTCATCACACCAATCTCCAACTTGTCACAACAACTTATAGCATTCTGGGATTTGTTATCTGTAGGCTGACAGGCAAACTACAACACGGGTGTACAATGTGAAAGTATGAAAAGAGGGTATGTGTCATGAGCAGAGGAGAGGAAATGACGAACAGCTGATACAGTGGCCAGAGAGTGGGTTTTAAGATAAGGTTGGAGGTGAAATACACTGAGTGCTAGACTTCTGATATATACTGATCTAAAGTATCAGTGTTGAAAGACCTCAGTTAAAACTCCAGAAGAATAACAGTGCTGTGTGTAAGCAGTACACCTTCACCAGACACATGGTTGTACATTAATACATCTGTTTAGTCTTGCAGGTTTGCATGATTTCAAAACACTTCACCATCAATATGAAAAATCTTTGTAAGAAACACAAGACTTGCCCTCAGGGCACTCATGTTTTTACAAACCTATCTTCATTAAGCCTTCATTCTTTCTTTGGTTATCCTGACATGGTCTCCCAGATTTGTTTTGTTTGCAGTTTGTAAGTTTGACATTAATTGAAGCTGTCTTTCCTCATCATTGTTGTTGAGGACAAATCGACTGAACTGAAGTCTCTCTTTAATTCCATACCTTCTCTCTTGTCATTTTAAAACGCCCCCCCCCCAAAAAAAACCAACATGCCTTATTGAACAAATAAATGTCAAACTTACAAATCAGCTTTACATTTTTGCTTAAAGAAATATGCAACATGTTCAGAAATGCTTCAAGCTAATGATTTCTTGTTACAAACGCCATCTTATTTACAGTTTTCCCAGGCTAGTGGTTCTCCATTATTTTTCTATAATAATGCGTTCCTACATATAATAAACTATTTGTATGAATTCCATTAGAGGCTAGGCATAAAGGTCGACTGATAATAAACTGAATGATGAGAAACAGGGATGGGACTTCAGAGTAGTGCCACAGAAATGGTAGGTAGTGTGAAAATATGCACCTTCACTGCCCACACAAACAGATCTTATTAACAATGATCATAAATGTACAACAATACAGAATTTGATTTGCAGAATTCACTCATTCTGAGTTGCTTTGGACAAAGGCCACTACCAAATGAATGTCATATAACCCTTCACTGAAGCGTCTACAGTCACAGGGTGCACCCCAGCTCGACTTGTTTACATGTTAGCATTCTGCAAATGTGCCTCAAAGGCCACAGAGAGGACCAGATGCAAACTGGAGGCCAAACACAAACAAAAGCATAAGTAGCTGGAGCAAAAAAAAAAAAATCCTTCATTTACCCTTTTACTTTATAATGATAACAAGATGGTTTATAGTGTGCTACCATCCAGTACTGTAGCAGGTAATCATGCCGCATCTTGTTTGTTTGCTTTCAGAGGACCCTTCTATTTATTTTACACCACACTGCTGTCAAAATATTGCCATTACTTGTATATTTGTGAGACAGATAATGCAACCAGAATAGCCATTCCCCTGCTCTGAGGGACTGAGCTGCCACAATGCCTCATAGTGTACCATCTACCCCATAACAATACATTAGTGTTTCCCCTTCTGTCTCCCTTCAGCAGATTTAGCCTGTGATAACAAGATGCAATACTACAAAACCAAGCTGTTATATGCAAGCTTGCAGTGCGGTTAGACTTGATAAGAGGAGCTTGTTAATTCATGACCTGCCAAACAGCAGAACTTCAAATAGGGTTAGTCAGACAGTAAATTCTGTGTGTAGGTGACAAGGGGTCAAATGAAATGAGGCTGTCTGCCTCTGCAGAGGAGTCTTGTGTGATGGCAGACAGGTGACAAAGATCTAGTCATCGTGGTCAGCAGTTTTAACACAGGCATTTATCTAAATAAAAGCAAGTAATGATTATGATCTGGAAAACATGCTGCACTCTCTGTTAGTGGTGTCTCTTGAACGATCAGGTTCTTACAGTATGTACTTTTTAAAAAGGTGATGAAGGGCATTTACCATGTTAAACTGCATGTATTACTAACTTAGTATTGCCTCAATTCATCATCAGCTTCCCTTGAATAAAAACTCTGAACAAGTGTACCACTAAGCTGCAGTCAAAGGGCTGTGTCCACTGTCACAGTACAAAAATAAGTTGTTTGCCGCTATTTGAGACCTTGGATCTAACTCAGATAAAGTAAATGTTAGCAGTGACCTCAGCCATGCTCCAGGGAAGAGGTCAGGACCAGAGGAGAGTTTAGGTCAACTAATGTTCACACATTAGTTCACACATTTGTAGATGGTGAAACAATAAGACTAACAATGAAATTATAGCCACATTCATTGTGTGTAACATACTTGGCCAAATAAAGGTGATTACATGAGACTGTAATACTTGTGCCAAATTATATTAACACCAAGCTGTTGCGAAGAGCAGGCTGGTTTCAGAGAAAATATTTTTAAACCAACAAAATGAAGGGTATTACAAGAAATGACTGCCGTGGAGATTAGAGTGAAAACAGCTAAAGACAAGGAGAAGAGCTGAAATATTTTGGACACAAGACTGGACTCTGAAAGACATATCATTAACCTCTGTAACTGGGGCTCGCTTTGCTCTTTAAATTGGGAGAGCGTGATGGCAGGCCTGCCAAGTGCCTGATAACCCAGGCACGAGAGGCCTCACAGCCCAAAGCTCTTGAGGTCTAAAGGTTAACCAGCACTACAAAGCTTCCTTTGACTGTTCAGCAGATGATGGTTGCATGTAAACCCTATGAACTTTATATCAAGACTGAAAGGCTGTCACTTTTAAAAGGAGGTACTGCACTTTCAGAAAAGCTGATGGACTTGAAAGAGATTTGCAAAAAGAACCGTCAGAAACAAAATCACCAAAGGCTAAAATATCCCGATTTTTACTACATAGTATAGGTCATGCTCCAAAAACACAAGCTCCTTGAGTTCCCATAATGCAACTTTTCATTAGACTGACCCAGAGTCCTTAAGATAGAAGAAATGTGACATTGAGGGCGCAAAAATAACAGTGGGTCATGTGACTCAAGTAGCTTCAAAGTGTTCCCAAAAAAACAATTTAGATTTATCATTTTCTGTAGGGAACTTGAAAAGCCTTGCAAACCAATTCTATGTTCTGTTGCTGTAAATAGCTCAGCGTTTCCCATACAATGATTTATTTGTGGTGGGCCGCTACAGTATCAACATTGACCACTACATACTGATTTAAAATAGGTTAAATCTTATTTCATGCATTTGCTCAGTCCCTCTGTGCCCTGCTCTGTTTCTCGCTCACACACACAAATACATGACAACAGACCACCGGGGAAGAGCAAAGTCTTCTAATCTGATATTAGCACGCTAGCTAACATTAGAATACAGCCGTTGTCGAAGTCCCCCCGTGAGCTGCCGCCACAAGCAGAATCTAATTCTGCGGGAAAATATTATCACATTAAGATGTGCTTGTTAGATAAACCAAAGTGATAATATTTGAAGTCGTAAAATGTGTTTTGACAAATGTTGCCACAAGTATAATTATTACTATAGATTTCAACTACGTACTTTAAAAGATAGCAGCCAAGTCAATGGAACTCTATGGCGCTGCTCCTAATATCTGGAACTATTTTATGTTCCCATGAACTACATTACTGTAAAAAAAAAAAAAAAAAAAGTCCTTATAGAGTCAATGGAAATGTCATGTGTGTAAAATTGGTGGCAGGCCCCTTTAACCTTTAATTCAGAAAATATACATTATTGTAATACCAAAATAATACTTATACAATATTATGGCAGAGTTTAGCCCAACTTAATTGAGGTCAGGTGGAGTTCTTACATATGGCTGCAAGGAATATAATTCTTGGCAGATTAGATATTTTTCCTATTTGGACATTCAACTGCTTTCATGTTATAAATACAAGTTGCATGATACTGCTGTAATAGGTTAAATAATGGGATGACTTTGAAAAATCTTAACAACAGAAAATTACAAACACCCCACAGAGACACGTCAGCTGAACTGTAGCGACCCTTTAAGTCAGATAAATATTCTAGCATTTGTACTTGCTTTTGCAACAAAATTCATATAGTGTGTAAAATGGTCAAATATAGATAGTTGTCAGTTTGGATCAATTTTTATTTCAAAGCTCAGTTCTGCAGAATCCTCTGGCCCCTCTCTAATTCTAACAACACAGACAAGACTCTGAGGTTTAATCCATCAGGACCATAGACAGTATAAAAATGAATAAGATTTCACCACTTCCCTCCACTATACAAAACGCAGCCAAAATGTTATCAATATGGCAGCTGCCACCTTGTCATTTTGCAACCAGATTCTGCACAGCAGCGACCTAGTAGTCAAGTGACGTATCAGACTGCTAATCAAAGCTGTTAAATTGTTCAAAATATACCTGTTTTTATATCAAATAACTTTAAAAACAAACTTACCAGAAAAATGGCCACTTATACACAAATTAATGTGATAATATTTTCCAAAAATAATATCTAGGAAAAGTTTATTTGATTTGTACTTTGAGTTTATACTTTGGCTCATGTCCCATCCACTAACATAGAGAGAGTGGGATATATGACTTATACTGCAACCAGCCACCCGAGGGCGTTTGACTCAGAGTGGATTCACTTGAGGGAGCTGTCACGTCGTCCATGTTTTTTACAGTGATGGGTCAGGATGTGCTTAATGTGCTGTTTTCAGAGATTAACAATATATTGTTTGATGAACAATAACCTTAACCGTGAGAAACAATGGTGCTGTGTTACTGACACACCGGAGAGCCTCTTATATAGCGCCGCTAGCTCAGCTACAACTCAGGTATCCATACAGCATCTCTACGTAAAGGACAAACATGCTTGTAGGGACTGTCAGAGCTCCACCAGACTCTGTTTCTCTGGCAGAGAAAAAGAGATTCCAACAGTAGCTTCTCAAGGCTGTTAGCTCCGACTGTGTCCATACTACTGTGTGAGCAGTAATCAGTTTTCCCCGTGTCCTGACTGTCCACATAACACGTTACATGGCAACAAGGCCACACCCTTTACTCGTTGCCGTGTCACTCCTCAGTTGCTTTCCTTAAAATCTGCTGGGAGAGCAGAATAAGGGTGTGCAGGTACCCTTTAAAAAAAGCATTTATCATTAATGAGAGGGAGACACAAACCTCAGCATTACTGTTTCTAAGAAAGCACCATAACCACTAGGTTATTCCTTAATAGCACCATGAATTGTTGATATTTTGCTGCAAACATCTACTTTCTGAACAACTTTCCATGGCAACAAAAACACTGGGAAACACAGTCCTTCCCTCCTTTTTTCCTTTCAAGGAGTTCTAAAATTAGCTAGGAATTTGGTCCTGTGCCTCAACACACAACCCCAAACTCTCTCCATCACGCAGCCCCTCACTCACCAGCATAAACACAGCCTGCATACAAGGGAAGACTTTCTAGATACCTTCAGTCCTATTACCATACCATGCCATTTGCCTGTGTGAATAAGAAACATCACTGTATAGTTACAGTTTAATTCAGCATGTGTTCACATGAAATTATAGCATCTTTTCTCCCACAGTGCTTCATGTCTGAACTACATACAACCACTCTTTGGTGATGCAGAGGTTGGCTTGTTTTTCCATTGGGCTGTTAACAAACCAAACCCACACCATTGTTCCGCTTTCATTCTGTGTTTTACAGAAAACCTCAGGTCTACATTATACAAGAGGAACATTTCCTTATGATGCAATCTACAGTATATGTTGGTTTTCGGGTTTATTGATAATTTTGTGTGAAGTGCCCCTCATGGACAGGTGGAAACCTTTCATCACCTTCAGGCACTGTTAAAAAAAAAATTAATGAACGTGTGACTTTCTCTGGCCAACTTTTGAACTAGCAACATTAGTGACTTAAAGGTATTTTTATGCCTTTTTTTCATCTGGTGTTGCTGTCTTGAAAAAATACACAAAACCTTTCAGTTTTATGCAGTTCCTACAGAAGATGGAAAAAAGCTTACCTGTCTTCTAGAGGAAGACCATCTTTTCTCCGCTCCTTTTCCATCTGAAAAAGAAAGAAAAGGACATTTCAGTCAGTATGGTCACAATGGCAAACTGCAATCCACTCGTTCCATATTCATTCACACTCTGACCTAGAAAGACACCATATCAGGAGGCTTTGTAACAGTATGCCAAGATGCCTTCTGGCTACTTTCATAAACAAGTGGTTTGATGCATACTGATAAACCAGCTGCTCTGGTTAACACACACGCATGCACACACACACATGAATAAAAAAATAAAATAAAATAAATGTTATTATTTTTTCTGAAACACCAGTGGTTTTATTTTTCATAATATATGACTGCATTGTAAATAAACCACGAAACCAAAGCAAAAAACTGGACTAGCCTTGGGAAACTAAAACTGGCATTACACCTTTTCCACCCCGACTCAAACCTAGACAGCAGGCAGCACATTTCTGCCAGTGCTGGCAGGGTATACTTGAGTTCTGTAAATGATGGTCACCCAGTTTGTTGTCACAACGTGCATCCAAGATTGATGACTAAACAAAAAGTAGGCTAGCTGTAATTGGTAATCAGGTTACAATTTGATAACTGGGTTTTTCATTTTTCTTGACCTTAGAAAGGTACTTTCAACACAGTATAAAGTATCTTCAACATAATTATTCTTTTTACTAAATTACTTGATATAATATTCATTTTAGTTAGGATGATTTAATCATAAGTACAACTCCCTAAGGACTAATAAAATATCTATAGATCATTACCTATCAAACCCTAATTTTATTGCTCTGCTAGCACTGCAGGAAAATTCATCAACATAAAAAAACAACAAAAAAAAAACAAAACACACAGTTACAGTCTTTCGCTTTTACTGCCTCTTACTTTGTAGCACCAATACATTTTCTGTAGACTAGGTCCTTTGAGGCTTTCTCACAATTACTACCAATCATGTCATTTTAAGTTACTGGGAAATTCCAGTTGCTCAAAACTGCATGTACGGTTAATATTAGTGCTACTTACACTGTACATGTCTATATCTATATCTATATATAGATATAGATAGATAGATAGATAGATGAACTAAAACAAAGCCTGACCAGCACTGCACCTTGTTAATTCACAGCTGACTGGTCTACGGAGATAAGCTCAGGTCTCTTCAAATGCACAACATGCAGTTTCCATAGGAACAATCAGAGGCCTTATAACTGCATCATGGCTTCAGGATCACACCACGAAACACCACCAATGGAAGACATAACTATAGTGTTTGTATGTGCAGCACTACCATGGATCATAATCTTTTCATGCATGTAATCGCCTCTTTCTAATCTTCTACTGAAAACGACTAATTACATACCAAACATGCCCCATTAGGCATTAGTGCTATTAGATCAACTGAAAAGAGATGGCATCTTCACAACCTCGACATGCTCTGTTTATGAGATAATAAAGATCTGTCAGCTAATAAAAAACAAGACCTTCTGCTCCTACTGAGGTGGTGACCCCTTAGGTGTCTCTGGTTACAGTAAACTGACCCAGTTGTAGGCAATGCTGCAAATCAAAGAGCAGGGTTGCTTCATGGTAGGATTGGAGAAACAGGGGCTTTGCATTGATTTGAAAAGGTACCTCAGTTTGGAAGGCATTTAATTCACTGGGTTATCTTAAAAAGACATCTCTATCTTGTTAGTTTAACAAGAAAACCGTCTTTCCATTAGAATATAAAGGTAATGTGGTAAATAACTATACACCCCTTGTCTAAATATGGCTAAGGTTAGAGGATGCAGCTCAAAAAGTTCCAACTGATCTGTCTTTGTTTTATTGTGCACAATGTCCCCTACAATGTCCCCAGCCTCTCTGAAGCTTGGCATGTTAATAGCTTAAGTAAATGAGACAAAACTATTTTCCAGCTGATTAAGCAGAACACATGTTGGTGCTGCTCTTTTGCCGTGAGCTACCTAAAGCAGGAGGAATATAAGCAGAACAGCACCATTTGTAAATGAATTTGATTAGATGCAGAGCTTTTCAGACTAATACAGGGATTTGAAACATTGACAACAAGGGTTTGTATTCACAACACAGACATGAACTAGGAAGATGAGAGATGAAAACCTGAACTACTCTAACAATTACTAAGGGGAGCAGAAGTCACCTATTTAGACTTGCAGCCAATCTAAACATATGATCCTCAGTCAAACCCAAAATACAGTCAGTGTTTACAAAATCACAACAGGTAGGATAACAGTTACAAACTCCGCTCATGTTCAAGTTCTCTCTGTTATGATGCCTGGTATATTTGGTATCTGATTTGACTTTAACTACAAACAGGTGACAGATTAATGTGAAAACCAGCATAAAATGTTTCAGTAAGGTGTTGGGCCACAATGTGCCAACAGAAGAGCTTCAGTGGTCCTTGGCACGGATTTTACAAGTCTACAAAAGATTTTCCCTCATCTGGTGTTTTGATGATGATGTTGGAGATACTGTTTAACAAGCTGGTCCTAAATCTCCCATATGTGTTCAACTGGGTTGATATCTGGTGACTGTGAAGGTCATAGCATTTGATTCACTTCATTTTCATACTCAACTCATTCAGTGACCCTCATGCCCTGTCGTGATCCTGGAAAAGACCACTCATTCACTATTCAGGTCTTTCCTCTGTCACCCACCTGTATGCCTCACACTTTACCTTCCACTTTACCTTCTGCATCACAACCTCAGTGAGACTGCAGCAACACTACTTGACCAGCTGACAACCAGCAGGCCTGGGGTGTAGAAGAAAGACACCCATGTTATGCTCGATTTCACATAGCTCATGTAACTGAGACAGTCACTCCCATTCACTGCTGTCTGTCTAAACAGGACACTGAACAATGTCAACAATTCTGCCATCTGCCAGTTGTTCTGCATGGTAGGGGCAGGTGGAAAAAAGACTTACAAACACCGGAGTGCTGCACCCTTTTGTCAAGCAGCATACCAGTTATCCAGATAACATCAAAAATCATCTTTGGTGAATCAAGCTCTTCCTTTGTTATCTGCACACATCTGTGGTACAACTGAACTGTACAGGTTGCAAAATGAGTTTTTAAAAATATACTACTGGCAAAATCAAGTGTGTGGAAGTATTTTTGTGAAGGTATACCTGATTTTATACCATATTTATCAAAGTCCACAGAAGGCCTACCATTCAATCAGGTAAAAAATGAAAATGTATTAAAGCATTCAAAATAGTGTAGTCTATATTCCAGTAGCATTTTTCAAGGCAGCCACATAATCAACACTCTTCACATACATAGAGGACTGCGGAGAATGCCACACCCTCCTCAGGTAACATGATAGTCAGCTGGTGACCTCATGACAGGTTATCAGTAAACACTGGGCTCCTGCTGTTCATGCTGGTCTTGCTCCACAACCACAGTCACCACACAGTCCTACTTAAACATGTTTAGGAAATTGTAACTCAGATCCCTGCAAAACAAACAGCAAAACATGCAAACTAAGGAGCTGAAAATAGAAGCAGTAGCATGTAGAGTCATTCCTAACGTACTAATGACTAAACTGCACAATGGACGCTATGTACAAAGGAAAATAAGGAGATGCCACATGGCAGGTGGCCCACTGCTCTGGTTTAATTTCAAAGTCGTGTATTATACTGTGGATTAAAGCTCTCTAAGTGTGAAATTTGCACAGTAGTGTGACCACCATGCCATATACAGTACAGTCACTGCTCCTTCCTCTCACAAATGAGAAAACATACACAACTTGCTACAAAGTGGAGCCAAATAGAAAAGAGAATGCAACATACGTGCTCATGCATCTGGATGCATTCGTAGGATTGTTTTAGGTGATACGGGTTTTCACATATTTCCAAACCCTTTCAATTCATTACCCATACAAACACACAAGGAGGAAATTAAGATTACCTGAAGCGGGACAAATGAGTCTGCATCCTCTGGCTGCCAGACCTCGACCACGCTGGTGGACATCTGACTCAGAGCTTTGTGGGAGCAAAATATTAAATCAGCAATGAGGTGTTGAGCAACATGGGACTATTGGAAATGCAACGCACCTAAGATGCCAAAACAACAATGCCAATTATTATCGTGCACTATTATTACAGATTATTGCAAATTATTAAACTGAAGGGGGGGGATGATGATAATCACGCAGCCAAGTGAGGAAATGACTTCGTCCGGGCAGGCTGACAAAGGCTGTTTGCTAGCAGGAAGGTTAGCTCGGTGGCTAACAACTTGGGAAATATAACGTTAACGTTATATCTTCTGCTACTGTAGTACGCACAAATGCTTTTAGCCGGTTAGTGTCATCTTAAAACTAAGATAAACACCAATGCTATGTAGCTTTATTATAGTGGCAACAGTAACAGATAATTACCAATTTAAACACCATAATACGTTACTTCCCTGCCTGGCAAGTTATCGTTTCGTTTAACCAAACAGCAGAGGGAACTGGTTGGTAGCTAGCAGGAACTAGCGGGCTGATAAAACATTCGCTACGAACATCTTCTAAGTTGGTAAAAATCTAAATATTCCTAAGTCGGGACTTAAAAATGCATTCAGAACCCTATTCGAGTTATTCTGAGTGCATATGCGGCTTAGACAATTCAGCTCACCACCCATTTCCCAGTCAAACGTTTGCTGTCAAGTCAGCCTAGCTAACTTAACGTACTTTTCCTGCAACCGTAGTTTTTAGTGTTAATCGGAACATAAAGGTGCATACATACCTTGCAGCTGAGCCCCTCCGTGCTGGACGCACGGTAAAAGTAAATGAACTATTCCTAATAGTATATTGATCCACGTTTTCCTGTGACAGTTGCTGCCTTGTTGGAAGTCCTGTAGCCCCGCCATGCTGCTCTCTCCGTTAGCAGCCTACCGTGTGTTTCGCTGGGTTGGTCTTTCTCTCACCGAGCTTCCCTCTGTCCCTCCCTGCTCGGTCATTGTACAGCAACGCTGTTTACGTGTCTGTTACTGAAGGTAAACCCAACAAAGTTAACAAAAACGTACCTTACCAAGATAAACGTGTAGACTATAACCTACAGCAGTGGAGAGTAACTAAAAATCCAACTCTATTTACTATATGCACACATCTGAGGTACTTTACAGTTTTTCCATTGTATGCTACTGTATGTACTTAACTATGCAGTAGCGAAGTACTCAAGATTCTTTACTCACATAAAAGTAGCAATACAACTGTGTAAAAATACTCTGATACAAGTAAAAATCATGCATCCGAAATGTTACTTAAGTAAAAGTACAAAAGTATTAGCATCATAATAAACTTCATGCACAAAACGTAAAAGTACTCATTGTGCAGAATGACACATTTCATTTTAATGTATATCATATTATTGGGTTATAAATTATTGTGAAATTCCCACTGAGGATCTTCAGTCTTATGATTATACTGTATTTTGCTTTATTCATCCGATTCTGAAAAGCAACAGGGGTTGTCAAATAAATGTAGCAGAGTAAAAAGTACAATATTTGTCTCTATATTGTAGTGAAGTCAAAGTATGATGTTACAGAAAATGAGAATACTTTAAATACAGATAACTCAAGATTATACTTAGTTACAGTAAAGTACACAAAGTAATGTACCTGGTTACTTTCTATCAGTGATTTTACTCAATATAACCTGGGTCATAATAATCTGATTAATGGCATAGTTGTACCACTGAAGTACAATATCAACAATGTGAGGCCTTCATCCTCCACTGTGACTGATTTAATGTAAGTTGAGTTTGTTTCTTGTGTTTTATCAAGTTACTTCCACCTTTTGTGTTTCAAGTAACATTTATGCCAACTTTCACAGCACAAAACTCCACACATTTCCCCTTTGACCCTAGGGAATAACTTGACTAAACCAGTGTACTGTGCACAAAACAGTCAGAACGACTGTAGTACTACCTCATCCAGCCACTTACATGTGGACGCACCAGCATTAACAATGTGTATCTCAGTCACAGGGCCCATAGAACCAGTAAGTACATTTTGCTTATAGCACTTCTACACTAAAGCAGAATTTTGAATACAAGACATTTACTTGTACGAGTACTTTAACTTAAGTAAATCCAAATCTGAATACCTCTTCCACCATCAACACTAAACAGAAGCATATGCAATAGTCCGCTAATAGAGCAGAGATTGACAAAAAACCTTTAAACCTGCTCACAGGATCGAGTAAAATTACATGTAATAAAAGCTATTGTTAACTCGGTATCATTAATGCATCCCTAAGTTCTTCTATAGGCCTATATTTTAAGCTAAGCAAATCTTTCATCAGCGTAATTACTGCATTTTACAGTAGAGAGCGAGGACAAGACACACTTAAAAGAAGCTGCAATTAATCACAAAGTTGGTGTCAGCCTCATATAGGACAGGTTGGGCAGGTACACACACGAACATTCACATTCAAGGCTTTTCTTCTGTGGGTGTGTCAGCTCCACCAACCAAAACTGAGGCTAGACATTGAGGATATATACCTTTATTTTTGGATAAAACATTACTACAGCTAAGAGTGCACTTCTAATAAGAAGCTTAGGGTTGCCACAATAAATATACAACATGCAAGGACATTTGCATCAAATGTCTCTCTTACATATGGATGCACCTTTATTGGCTTACAGGGAAAATAACCCATTAAAACACCATAAATAAAAAGTGACAGATCAACAAAACTGTATATGTCTGCATATCATTCACCTACTGGAAAGAGAACTCAAGACGAGCACAGAGCACGTTTGAAATTTAAAATCAGCAAAACCAGACACATGGCCTTGTCAACTAGGTCAGTGAATAAACAGAACACACAACTACCTGTTTTGCATCTGATTTGACAGGATAAAAAATGGAGGAAAACAGCCATTGTAGACATGTCTTGGCAACACTGTTCCTGTTTTGCAACAATGGCAGTTTCTAAAGAAATGATTAAAAAAAGATTTGGAATGAATACAACAGCAGAAAACAGCTTGTAAAACTTCAGAATGACATTTTATCTGCAACACAGGACAAAGGATTCTGCATCTGCAAAACATATGCTAAACATATCTTTTGTAAGATAATCACTTCTTGTGAAAAAGGAGAACTAGATCTTTCTGAAATGGAGGCTTTTTTCTGCTCCAGTAGAAACACAAAAGGGAAAACTGAGAGGAAAAAGTGCAAAAGCATTTGATTCCAGACCATCTGTTTAAACCATATAAATTAGATCATTTGTGACACTGATGTGCTAAGTGTTGATTCCTTTCCATCATCAACTTGGAGCTCTCAGTTTTCATGCAAACAGGTGTCCCATCTAAATTGTGTTTATCACAGAACCCCCTCACAGCGACTAATGGCTGGTTCACCCTCTACTCTGGTTGCACCACAGAAACATCTGCTGATCAAGTCCATCTGTTGCAGCAAAATCAAACATAACCTTACATATGAATCCTCATGCATTTATTTTCACTCCAATAAACAGAACAGAAACTAGAAATGCATAGGCCAGTTATGGAGGCTTCGAACTGTAGCTTAAACACTTTTTTCCTTTATTGTGTGCACAATTTAAGACTGGAAATCAGTCCATATAGTCAAAGTCCTCAGGGATCCCAAAGGCTTTATTAATGCGGCTGTCATCAAAGGCAAACTTCTTCTTTGTCCATGACTTGATGGCAAAAATGTTGTCTGAAAACAGAAATCAATCTTTACTTAATGAGCTGAAATGTGTTATAAAGTACTATAGCACAGTCAGTCTGGGATTATGAGAATATTCATGGATTTGAGGATGACTTGTCAATCAACAATCAGTGTTTGGACGAATGTTTTTGTGACTTGCAGCATCACCAAGTTAATCAAACAGCTGATTGGATGTTTTTCTGTACCGTCAACTCAGGACAGTAATTACAGCCATTGATTGGATAAGCCTCCAAAAAGGATGGTAAAAATTTTTTTGTGGGGGTGGGGAATTAACTATGAATGGTCACAACAGATATAGCAAAATGTAGCCTATTTACAAGTAAATAAATTGCAGTAGCTAACATACTGAATTAGCAAAGTTATGTTAGCCATGGAAGCTAGTTAGTTGACATTACATAAGTCATATGAAAAACAAACAAAAGCCGAAGCCATCTGACAACCTAGGAAAAGCCCTGCATCTCTCTTTCTGGTACTGTACATTTGTGCATGAAATGGAATTTTAGCAAGTAAATTCTAACCGAGATTTGCCTTTTACTGGCATTTTTGACACCTTCCCTCAACCATCAAACCAGCCAGAAATACTCGCAAAACCTTACAATAATACACCTTAATCAAACATGTTTGATTATGACTTGGTCAATGTATTATCTTTAATCTCTAATTCTTCCCCTGATGATGATTGCCTACTGACTGCTGTATAAACTGTATTTAAAATACGTCATTTGAACAAAATATCTCCTGAATCTGATGAGTTATGATGGAGCTTTTATGTTGTTAGTCCAATGCTAGAATGCCTTTTTGTATAGCAGTCATACAAGAATAACATTTGAATAGACACATAATTACACAATTAATCTGACAATACTGCATCCACAAATCAATATACATGTTTTATAAACTGACACTCCTAAAAAGTAATCCAGTCATAGCTTGAAGACTAATGCTTGTCTTATAAAAGCTTAAGTCAATAAACTCTGAACCACTCTATTAGTAACGCCTTACACTAAAGTCCTGATCACCGTACTCCAGTTTCGATATGACAATGCGCAGTTAAGGTGCAAATGATTAACTGTGTCAGGGCTGGTATGCGAGTGTGTCTCAGTGTGATAAGGCCACAGGTTAAAGCCACACATTTATTTTGAAAAATAAGCTGTGACAGAATAAGTTGCACCCACAGGCAATAAACTGGATGAAGCAGGGTTGTTACTGTAGCCTGCAGGGGTCTGTTGTGACCTGCTCGAGTAATGCACTGAAATAACACCAGCTGCAAAGCAAGAAGCAGCGCACGAATGCTTTGTGTATTTAAAAAAAGACACATGAAGATGTAAGCGCCTCTACCACCAGGCATTAAAAAGAGGCCATGTAGAGTTTCCAAGGAAAATAAGATTGTTATGTTGATTTTGGTCACTGAAGTAACTGGTGAAAAAAAATATACACCACAGTGCAACAGAGCAAAGGAATCTGTTGAAATGTACTAAAAGAACAGACAAACTAGTGCGTGTAGTTGTAACAAATCAGCTGATATGTGAATAATACAGCTTGTGGTACAAAAAAAAATGCACTTTACTGGTTCTCAGACAGCTGGTGTAGTCGGTGCTGTGAGGAGACATTTTTATCCTCAATGCATGTTTGTGTAGTAATGTCTGCCACAAGTTAGGGAAGTACAAATCATAGAAGAGGCAGATATGATTCATAGCTCGCTAAAATTAGTATAATTTTATGGAAGTAAAAGCAAAAAGCTCCAACTAAAACTGACAACGTGACTTTGTTGACCAGTTATAGGAAATGTTGACCTAAAGAGCCAAAACGACACAGGACTGGTTGGATACCATGATCCCCAAAGGTCAGCTGTCATGCCACTCAGAAAAACCTAAGTGCTGAAATAAGGACACTGTGTTCTTACAGCTTGCACATTGGGAATTCTGGAGTGCTTTAAAGAGTAATCACCCCTGCAACAGTCATCCTCAAGTTATTTTTGGAAATAATATTCAGAGGTGACTTCAGACTAACGCTGCAACCAGTGATTAGAACTGCAGGAAAATTAATCGATTGGGTCAATCAACAGAAAGTCAGTTGTGAACTATTTTGATAATAAATTCATTGTTTTAGGTGTTTCTCAAACAAAATGCTAAATGTAACAGGTTCCATCTTTTCATGTGTGAGGATTTGATGGGTTTCTTTGACACATACTTTGTATTGTTGTTGGAACCAAACAAGCAATTTGAAAATTATTTGATCTATAAAAACAACAAAAATGTCACAATTCCCTTTTCTTTTGTCTCTACAGCCCAAAATCATAAACTGTTCAATTTACTGTAACGTAAGACAAAGAAAACTAGCGCAGTCTCACATTTGAGAAGCTGAAACCATGAAAAGGAATTACCTAAAGATCAATTATCAAAATAACTGCAGATTGTTTTTCTATTGATAAAATATTTTCAGTAATCAACTAATTGCTGTGGCTCAATTCCAGCCTCATTACATGTGAATATATAAAAAAAAAAAAAAGAGAGAGAGACTCACCTGTCCACCTGGAAACGGCTTCTTTTGCGACAACATTTGACTTTCCTACAAAACAAATATTATCAGTATGTGCATTATACTGGACATTATGTCTGCGATGTGTGCATGTGCACATCATGTGATGAAAACAAAACCGTTTCAAATGATGAGTTAAGCTGGCCTTACACTAGAAGACTATGAAAAGGCTAAAACAAACAAAACAAAACAAAAAAAAACACTAAAGTCATACCATACCCTCTGGAGAGAGCTCACCTATTGGCTGTTTTCATGTCACTGCCAAGACTAAAGACTTGCAATAATATTAAACATGCTTGATTTTATTGGAATGGCAAGAAGACAAGAAGACTGACTTAAAACAGCTTGCACCACTGCCTCAAGTGCGACACGACTGTAGCAAGATTTTCATAATTTTTTTCTGATCTTTGAAATTTGGCTGTGACACAAAATCACTTGATAAGTTGTTAGGTGTAAGGCCGGCATTACACTACAGCAGATATGCTAGGAAAAGCATCATGTTACAGATGACAGAAACAGAACATTAGTCCATTTTGTATTGTAAATTCCTACACAGGGTTCATTTACTAAGATTTGTTTCTTTACTGACCCACGTTTCTAAGCATGACTCACATATTTTGCGTCCTTACGTTGTCACAAAACACTGAACACAACACAGAAAAACTGGCAACAGAAACAAATGAAATTATGCAGCAAACAAAGCCCTTTACAGAGGAATGTATGGTCAGTGATGTGATGGTTGGATAGCTACAACCATACTGCATAAACAAGTGGTATACTATTAAATTAAAGGGGACACTTTAACCTAAACAGCTCCTGCAGCTGAGGAAGGAAAGAGTCCATCTGGAAACCTGAACAACGTGTGTCGCCGTTTCTGACTGACGTATTTCGTGACCAATAAAGCTGAAGCAAAACAACAGCAGGTAACATCATTAAGTCGACAGGCGCGCGGGATAATCACTTTACCTTTTTACCAGTCTTTTAAACAACCCTCTGTTGATTCCGTGACAGCTGTCCACAGGCACTGATTTGGCTGCTGCACTAGTGGGCTGTCTAAATCACAGCCAATACAAGCTATTTTAGGCCGGGCTCAGTTTACAGGTTTGGCAGAATTTCTCCTCAATTTGTCCTTGAGGAAAATCAGAGGAATGATCTTATCCAGGGATGTGATCAGTACTAATGTTCTGGTATGGCTTTCACAACTGGTGGCCTACTCTATGCTGCATGAGCAACACAAAGGTGAAATTTGCTCCACGCCATCTCTATAGTTATCTCAGTATAAATTAATAATGCCACAGTGAAAACAAAAGTTGATATAAAAAAAAAAAAAGTTGCATGTATGAGGAACTTCTCAGTGGAGACATCATTTTACATATAGATGGGAATTCAGGGTACATACAGTAGGTGACACGGGGACAGACCACCCACCACCCTAAACATCCACCAACTGTCAGGGCCTGCTGAAATTTCTGCCTGGTCATGTTTGAGGAAACCATACAGGGTACATCATTCTTATGTCATCGCATCTTACATGGGTGGAACAAAGACACAAGGAAAACAATCAAGTGAAGGAAACAACAGTGCTTATGAGAGACTTGGGGTGTAACCATAGTGCCAAACTTGTCATGCACATTGTTGTGATTTCTTTGAGGTGTCGTTTGCTCCTCCCATGTCAGATGGTTTTTAACCTCAAATGTTACCACAGCAGCCTTCTGGTATCTATGGGTGTGGCAACAACTGTGAAATATTTTGCTCTGACAAATACAACTTAAAATGCTGTCTGTCAACTCTGCCACTAGCACTTCAGCTAGTATTTTCAGAGGTAATCACTTTGTGCTTGTAATAGAACCTCACCACATCAGCTTATTTGGCTCTATGGGTGTGGCATCCAATGTCAAATGCAGCCAGGACAGAGAACTTACACAAATCCAATATGCAATAATTAGCAGACAAATCATAAGTAACCTACTTTTGATTTTTCCAGTGAGAATGGGAAAACAAAGCATAAGATACTGGAAAAAAAAAAGAAAGCCTGTTCTTTCTCTGTCTCACTAAGGGTTTATCTGTTGAATTTGGCTTTTGCAATGACTATGTTTGGCAGTGAGCTTATCACAGGCAGCAGGGGCAAAGTTTCTGCAGAAAGAGCTGAAAATATAATCAGTTATTTCTCTGTGACCCACCATAAACATTGTAAAGGAAAGTGAAAGTTTGCATCGTTTGTGCTATGCTAAAAATACAAACTTTACTAGATCTACATGACTGAGAATCTTTAAAGATTCAACCTTGACGGAATTTATTTGGTTTAAAACTGCAACTAACATTTATTTTTGGTGTCAGTTATTCTGCTAATTATTTTCTTGATTGATCGTTTGTTTTAAAATCTCAAAACAGTGGAAAACAGCAAGCACAATTTTGTAACACATACGCACAGACATATTTAAATGTATTGTTTGTTTGATTAACATAAAACCCAGTGATATCCTGTTTACTATCATAGAAGCCTAGAAAAACAACCAAATATTCATATCTGAAAACCTAGAATCAGTAAAAATGTCTTAAATGACTAAAAGATAAATGATTGCAGATTAATGTTCTGTTAATCTACTAATTGGCTGTTTCTTCTTTGGTTATAGATATACTTTAAAGTAATTATAGGAATGCTGTGCGCAGAGTTATCTTCAAATGTCTACAGTTAACTTTTTTAAATGTCTCATTCAGATAAGTGGACTTGGATTAGTCAGGAATAATGGGCCCGCATGTCGAAGTAACTGTGAGTAGGCAAAACCATACTGTGAAGTCGGAGTGGAAAAACAGGAGAACTTTGGCCTAATTAACTCGTGCATATCTGATGTGCCATTGGAAGATGTAGGTAATCAGACCAGATAACGCCACACATATCACATGTTCATAGAGTGACACCCCCCTTTGTCACATGCTTGCTGGGACATTAACACAAAGCAGTAAAGGATTTTTGTAATACCACTAATAGTTGTGTGCACTGTGCAACCATAGAAGAGGTGTGTCTGTCACACAAACTAAGTAAATCATGACCTGTGACAAGTTTAATTTACCCTGCCGTTAAAGCTGACATGCAGGTCTTAAGATCAGACCACATTTGTTGACAGAAAGGTTCACACCTACTGTCTTACGCTTACTGAATGCACGGCAAGTGACCACTTGTGATAAATTCTCACTCCTGTACCGACGTTTGACTTTAACCATGGGAAACTGTGACCCTGCTGCTAAACTGACAAAGCATGCTTGTTCTCAGCGGTGCAGTCAGAGAAGAGGACTGCAGCAACTGATATCTGCACCTCAAAATCTTGGCCCAAGTGGTTTGACCCAGGAAGATAAACTGTCTCTAACCAAGTCTGACAGCACTTCTGTGTCTTTCCCTTCATTGCAGTAAGGCAAACATTTGCATTCACACAATTACATTACATAATAATGTGGTTACAGGTGCCCTGATTGACTTGGCTTAAATAAATGGATGCAAGCATCTCTTTATGGTATGTGGATGCATTCACACCTCATCTAAAGTTGTCTGAACATCCAAGACAGTGTTCAGTGAAATGTGTGAGGAGGGAATTTGAGGGTGTATAATATGTTCTGCCACATCCTGGTTTCTTAAGCACTATGAGAAGGTGATTTTGACAGGTGGCCAAGATCATAACAGCGCTTCTATTGGTGTTTATTCAGGATATCATTTCCATTAATGAACCTGTGTTGAATCACAGATGTGCAAAAAGAATGTGAAAATGTTTAATGTCTATCACCCCAGTTTCTGACAATCTGTGGGAGGGTAACCTGAACTAATCCAGCTCCTAATGCACAATACTGTGTTTATTATCTGGTGTAAAACCACTTGTTCATGCTACTTTGAGTCATACAGATGCTCCTCAAATGCTTTGTTTCTTGGGTGATGTGCAACTCAGTCCCTCGTTTTAATAACAGATCCTCACTGGATGCAAAACATCACTATCTGCTTCTGTGAGTCACCTGATGTTAGAATCCACTGCTCCCATCTTAATTCTGAATTGTCTCCAATTTCCTTTTATAACAAAATTCACACAAACACTTTCAGCAACAGCATCTACACTAACTAAAAGCTGGTGTCTGGAAATTAATAAATAAAATCACCCGTCTTGTATTAATGTCACACAGACTCCGATCCTGAAACACGATTTTGAATCTTGAGACAAACAACTATTGATTCAACCATGTTATACAAGTGCAAGACCAAGCAGCAAACCACTCAAGTGCTTGTACTACACTTCTCTCAAACGTGCTTTGGTCATGAAGTGTTATATATAAATACATGTGACATAACAGACTCCGTACACTCAGTGATGAGAAAAATGTAAACCTCTTTATAAGGTCATGCAATCAGTACAGCAGCCCTGCAAACAATGTCATGGTACTGACATTGTAGATCTAATGCCTAAGGGACCATGGCCACCCAAATAAACAGAGAGTTAAATCAACACCTCTGATACATGGTCCCAAACATTTGGACATTTAAAGTTTCACAGGGAGAGACTGTTTCAAGACAACTGTGCTGGACTATGTGACATTTCACAGGAGCTAGGTTTCTCTGGCCAGACACTGTCAGGGTCTTGACTGATACTAAAGCTTAAAAGTGACTTTGTAAAAAAAAAAAAAGTGAGGCAGCATCTGTACTCACTCATCTCTTCAACAACCTCGGGGTCACATTCTCGGTACTTCTCCAACTCGGCCTGCAGCCGAGTTTGCTCCTCTCTCAGAGCCTGAAGCTCCTTCAGCAGAGACTCTCTCTCCTTCTGCAAAACAAACACAGGCCGATTTGGAGAGATTTATTTCCTAAGTCTATTTAACAAGTATTCATTTCATTGTATTCACTCAGTTAAATGTAGATTTTTTTCCATATAAGGTGGGAAAGCAAGCGTAAATGTACTTACTGTATCTTGACGTCCTACTTTCACCTTTTCAACCGCTTTCTGCAGAGACACTTTCCGCTGCTTTGCTTCAGAAATCTTTAAAATTAAAGAGTGTTACATGAGGCAAAGTTGATATCAGTGTGCTACCAAGGTTAAAGTCACATACACAGCAGTTCCATAATCACATCATGAGCCCAGGTGGGACAATATTAATAGGGTAGCTAGCAGCTAGGTTTATCATGTTAGCACAAACATTCATTACTATCCACTCTCGATTTTGGGCCAGTTACAAACGCACCATAATGACACACCATGTGTATTCATTAGTTGGGTTCTGAATGTTAAATCATGTTTTATTTTTCTATACTGGTGCCAATCGGTGCCAAGGCAGAGTAGGTTGCATTAGCCGCATGGCTAACCAAAACACAATGGAAACCTGCAGGCTGGACACGTGAATGAAGCCGCTCACATCGACTCATCACAACATTGTACCGTATACAACTACAACCCCCCACTACCACCACCAACGCAGCCCCTTTAAAACACAGCAGGGAGTTGCGTTTTACCATACTCAGCCTGAAGGCCTGCTAACTTTAACATGAAGAAGGTGAAATCACAGCATATACTGGTGGACTGAGTGTTGTCTGTCACAGAAGTATTATTTCACTACTTTTAAGTTTTAACTTCAGTGAACACAGGCCTCAAAACAAACTGACTGCTAACCAGGGCATTAGAGACCAATGAGTCATCTGCGTTATTGGCCAATTACAATGCTGCTGAGATACATTGTAAATAATTTCCATCCCAACCAAATCCTCATTTCTTGTCATAAGCTCATCATGCAAATTTACATTGATGTTTTAAATATATGACGGCATTTAAACATAGTAAAATGCAGTGGTATCTCAGTATTGGCTGTTTACCGTCATGCTTATGGAACAACCAAATGGCATTATCTAGTGACAGATTGCTGCGATACAACATTTAACTTCTGTCCCAGAAATCTGGTGGCCAGTGTTCTCTGAAGAGACACCACCCTCACACCATCTGTCTGCCATGCAACAGCACAGGAAAGTGGGTCACTGCAGACGACGACAAACTCAGAGACAAGCAGTTTAAGTTTAAGTGTAACATGGAAAATGAGAAAGTCTGTTAAAAATGGGCCTTTCGAATATGAACATTTTGTTACAAATGTGAAAACCATACAAAAAAATGTAAAGCTGTCAATAATTTCACCCCAACCCCCCCAATGCAGATGAATTACCTGAAGGGTTTCCTGCACTGTGCTTATCATTTCTGCAATATACTCTATGACTGTATCCTATCCTAAACAACACAGCAAGTATGTGTTGCTGCACTGTACGCCATAAACTGTGGGTACATTCTAATTCCCTGGAAAGAGGAATCAAGGAAGTGTTTTAAGAGACATGAGATGTCCTTTTCTGCTATCCTTCATCTGAAGCATCCAATCACCAACTGATTTCTAATAAAGGGGAGGTCAGCCCATAAAAGACTCCCAAGAAGGAAGATCTCATGTCTCCTCCAGGCAGCCTTCTCACTCCTCATAGCAGGAATAAGAGCTTTTGGATGTCCTTTAAGATGGTGGACTGAAATGACGATCGAGGACTAAGGGAATTGGGATGTACCCAGCGTATTGTTCTGCTTTTTAATATTATGTTCAGTAACATCTTTGAAGACGTGAGGTTACTATGATCAGACCAAAACTATGGAGCCTCACCTGTTTTTGCAGTTCCTCCAGTTTGTGCTTGCGAGCGTGCAAGGCCTTGCTGGGGAAGGCCCAGTAGTAGTTGGATGTACCCACTCTTTCACAGTCAACCAGGTTGTCATCCACCAGGCTCTGCAGCACTTCCTTCACAGTCATGGGAGCTTAAAACAGCAGAGAAAGGAAAGAACACCTTCCACTTTAAAGGTCCAAAATCCATTTGTTCCCAGAGGAGCTGATGCTATTTGTGGATTGCTGACTAGATATGTGAGCAATTCATTTATGAAGTGGGTAGGAGGGTTACAGGCTTTGAAGACTAAGCAATATAAACTGTATCTGATGTCAGGTATACTGTAGCTAGGATTTTAAAAATACAAGTCATCATCAGCCTCATTTTTACTGTTGGAAAGGCTCAGTGCTCATGTTCACTAAATTAAACCCACACATCTGCAGCCTATCTGGCCATTTTACTTATCTGAGAGAATATTGCATGCGAGCATGGTGAAGAGCAGAGTTACATCTTCAACAGCGTCTGTGGTGAAATGTGATACTCCCACACGTTTGCTCAGCTTGTCCACAGTGAAACTGAAAGAGTTTATCTACTCTGTTAACGGGCTGATCTGAGCCCCGAGGATGCCAAGCAGTAGCAAAAATAACAAACAAGGACCAAAGGTGGAAAACACTCTGGATTAACTAAAGCGTGTGTGTGCTTCACTCAAGAACAGCGTTTCCCCATTCCTTCATCTCTTCAAACACTATATTACCAATCATAGTGCCCTTCATTCAACTTCAAAGTATTCTGCCTTTTACCACTACTTTTTCAGTTTAGCAGAGATCACTTCTTTTCTCACATTTTTCTCTTTCCACAGGAAAATATGCCCCCCCCCCCAAAAAAAGACCTTATTGCCCCTTACCCCTATCACTCAGTAACTACATTAATAACAGGGGTCAGAAACATTTGTCTTTCATCACAGCAACAAGATTCAGTTTCACAAAACTTCTAGCAGCACACTGCACTATGAGGTTACTGATATTGAAAGGTCTGATTCTGTTTGGACAGACTCAGTACAGTTAAGATAGCAACCATGAGTCCTGGTTGCCATGGTAATTTTGCAGGCTCATCACCACATTGTTAAGAACGCAGTTAGGTGAAATGACTGTTGTCAAAGACTGAACTGCAGCGGTGAGCAAGTAGCGGCCTGTGGGCCAAATCTGGGCCGTAAAAAAACAACAACAAAAACCCAATGAAAGCTGAAATTTTCCTCATTATAGTTTACAAAACTAAAACATTTGCATAATGTTTCACAAATCTACTTTAGATAACATCGTAAATACAAGGCTCAATAAATAAAACATAAGTAAAAAAAACAAAAAAAACTTGCATCTTAACCAATGATATTAACTCACCTATGCCCTTTGTCTTAGGGGCAATCTTCTCAATGTCTTTCAGCTGAAACACATCTTTCTAGAAAGAAAGAACATGTTTAAGGAAAAATAAATGTTGTCATATGAAAAGGTTGCTTGTGGTATTTTACCTTCATGGTTTATCTATTTTTGCAGCCTAATAGTTCATTGTCTGTACTTTTATGTGCCTTGTTGTAATTTATTTTGGTGGGGAAATGTTCTAAAGCACTTTGTGTTTTATAGGATATTATTCTTAACAGATCCAATTACTTCTTTGCAAGGTCTTGTTTACTAATCAGTAAGAATTAAAACATTTCATAAAGTTTGAAATTCAACAATTTCAAGTTTTCAGAAATTACTCAATGCTCAATATATTGTCATCTTGGTTTAGCTCTGTCTAATCCAACTTTGCTTTGCTTAAGAAGGTTATTTTTGCAGCTGTGTCTGTACTTGACATGCAGATGTATTAGAGAGAGAATACCACACAGAGACCAACTCTTAGCTTTTGTCACCTTTACAAAATGTGGGCAACCCAAACAAACATTAAGTCAATTCTCGTTTTTCAGATTATGATAAAGCAACTAAAATAGCATAATAGCTCTGATCATCTTTAAAATACACAACATAAAGACAGTCACGGAGGGGGACTTGGGCGGGAAGCCTCGTATTAATATGGTTCCTATTTTAAACAGTTTTCTGTAAAAATAAATAAAATAAAAAAACTCACTGATTCAAAGAAAATCTCCATCATGCGTGTTCTTTTCTCCTCCAAACTTAGTCCTTTCTTCTTTGACTGTAACAGAAAGTTTAATGTGACTACTAAATCACAAAGCTGTGGCATGTTAAGAACAATAAAACAATCTATGCAGGATTGGTTGTTTGATAAACCTTTATTAGCATACCACAAGGAAAAAGACATATCTACAGTTTACTGTAGTTTGTCAAGTTCATCACTATTGTTGTCATCCGCTTAAGTGGTGACGTAACATTTTGTTTCCGGGTCAAAGTTCGGCTGGTTTTCTTCCTCTCCGTATGCCAGTGTTTCCCCCCTCCCCATGATTTCAAAGGATCTCAAACAGGGGTCAGCTGTTATTTTACCGCTTTCCTTGCAATGAGAAGGAGAAAAGGGAGTGGCTACAGTTGGTCAAAAAAGTCACAGTTTTCTTAATTTAATGAAATGAAACTTCTACAAGTGCGCTGTTTTGCTAACTTGTAACTAGCTAGTTAGCGCAAAGTCAACGTAAACACTATGCATCGACACATTTTACGATGATGAAAATAACAGTAAAAGCTCCAGCCAGAACGGAAATACCAACTACTCCATCTGAATCGAAAGAAAGTAGTCTTTTTTTTCCATTCTCAGTGATGCCTCGCTAAAAAAAAAAAGATGTGGATTACAGGCTCCGCCGTTTGAGTCTCGGGGAGCTTGGAACCGGAAGTTGAATCCTACGTCACACCTAACAAGCCGATACAACCTTGGATTTTACATTGGTTGAGGGCTATTTTGTAAATTAACCCTGAGGTCAGATAAAGACAGACAGCCTGTTTAGCTAACGAAACATGAGCACACACATGCTAGTTCCAAAACTTAAACACAGTGTAGTCTACTGCTAGCAACATTAGCATTATAGCTGTGTCATTTTGTACAGCGCCCCCTGGCATTTTTTTTTTTTTTATGTTCATACTTTGGTCCCATGTTAAAACACTCAAATACTGACCGCCAGAAATGGTTGTTTCAGGTCTGTTGATACAGGACAACCCAACCTCCGCGGCTGGGGTTGGTTATGCGTTGCAGCGAGCTTTGTTGTATGAATAAGTTTATAAGACGACTGGTTGAGGTCTGATTAAACACCCAAGAACGACACAATTTGTCAACGAAACGCCGATCCTCTCGAATCACTATTACATCAAATGCATGTAAAGGTGAGATACTCCTTACCATTTTGTTGTGTCGGTTGTATCAGCAGTTTAAAAAAAATGCGAGTTTTGTTATATAACCTAGTGGCCTTATATCGGTAACCCAAGCAAATGTAAATTTCCCGCGGAAGATTGTGACTGCCTCCTGTCACTTTCACAGCTCCTCGTAAACATTTCTTCACCGACTTAGAAGAAATATTGCAAATCAGCGGGCGTTTGTTTACTTCTAGACTGTAAAATAAATGTAAGTCAACAGTTATTTACAATCATTTATTAAGCTTAACCCTAGTTATTTTGTAAAAAGCAACAGAACATATGAAGGATATACAGAAAAAACTAAAATGAACTGGTGTACATAAATGTAGAATATAAAAACTGTTTTTTCAATGCATTGTATATTGCTTTCTGGTGTATTGTACATACATGTCTTGTAAATTCCCACTAAACGTCGCGTTTTCACGCCATTAGCATCCTGTTCACTTAAGTCTTGGTTATGTCCGACTGCACTGGAAGGCAGCATGCTTGAACGGGGAGGAGCGACGTGTGTGACTTCAGCTCATGAATGTCTGACGCCCTCTGCTGTCTAATACAACACACTGTTCTCATGTAGGTTAGCTGAACTAGGAAAGTCTTCATGATTTAAAGCATGTATTGATTTCTTTACGTGTTCTATCTGTACAGAGAAACCCAGTTATATAAAAAAAAAATAGCATCAGTTAATGAGGGCCTGCATTGACCCATCGTTTCCCCAGGCGCTCAATTAGTAGCCTAGTCTAGAACAGAAATTATATTATTCATCACCTAGGATAATTATTTGAAAGAAAATAAATTAACAGTTGTTTTGATACTTGCTTAAATTATTTTTAAGCAATATGTCTAAAAATCACTTGTTCCAACATCTCAAATGTGAACATTGGCTAGTTTTTGGTGACAGAATGTTTGTGTTTTTGACTGTTAGACAATAAAATATAATGAAATATGTTAACATGAGCTTCAAGAAATAAAGATTTTTCATTATTTTGACATTTTATATACCAACACAAAAGTGTGCTGCAGCAATAAAAATAATTGTTCTGCAGCCTTACATTCTCCTGCAATGGAATAACAATGGAATATTCCCTGAGGATTTCTGTGTTAATTACTTGACAGAGGAGAAAAAAGGCCATTTGATAAAACACAACTTTACAACAAATGAACAAGCTATAAACTAACACACCTGAGGTCTTAAAACTAGATTCTGAGGCTGGAAATTATTCTGCCAGATGGAGGCCAGGAGATGGAGGATGGAGGATATATTATATAAAACCAAGTGCAAATAATATTCTTTCTTATGGGCACTTTAATTCAGTTTGGCTTTACAAATATAAACAAGACAATGGAAAACTAATAATGTAACAGGACTGTGTAGAAAAATGAATGATTTGAGTTCAAAATACATAATAAAAACTGTGCTTAAAGAAAAATATTTGACAAAGGCTTTCTAATGAATGTACAATACATTTTACTACATACACCAACTGTTGAACTATCTTTTTTGCAGAAAGAAGTTTTTTTTTTTTGAGAGTACATCTTGTAGTTGTACAGATTCTTTCAAAGGCATAAGAGCACATGTAAAAGAGTGGAGGTGCTCACAGTTCTGCAGCTTTGTGCCTGATGATGTTGGATTGAACCTGCACTGCAGTGTGATAAACAAACCTTCGCAGCAAGGAGTGATGCACCTCACTGAGTTTATTTACAGCATTTTAGCTGTTTACTCAAACTGTAAGATGTTTGCACCTAATCACAGAAGAGTCAAAATGTTAAGAGGCTTCATAGATACCTACACAGCAGATTCATCTTACCAAGTGGTTTATGTTCGGTACCTTAATTGATCACAGCATGCATACAGTCACAGTTGTCCTGCACACACATACATGCTATCTTTTAAGTTATCAGCATACTGTGTTAAAGTGACTAGTCATTTTCACGTATAGACAGAAGTACTCTAATTGAAACAAAGTCTCTAAAATGTCTTTTGGTGATGTTAAGTGTCAGCTTGAAACATATTTATATGTTGTGCACAGTAGCTTTTCAGGTGTTTATTTGTACAAACAGCATGCACAGAAATACCCAATCATGCTTGAAAATACCCTGCTACCTACAGTATAGTCAGTGAAATACATTTTTTTATAATCAACAGGCAAAATGTGAAGAGCATTTAACAGGAAGCTGCAGTTATTGGAACTATACAGTAGGTAGTATTCCCATCATTTGTCACGTAACTAATGTACTTCTTTAATGTCGGTCTCACTTGTGTAACCAGTTTTTCTTAAATACAAGTGCAAAAGCATTATTTTCCAGTTTTCCTTCCATGTGATAACTAATCAAAGATCTAACATATGTACAACCTGATCATTTTGTTGTTCAAATCAGGGCAGTTAAGATCTGAACATGGTTCTGAGTGACTCCTTCAAGCATCAATCTGCAGCTGATCCTCTCGCTTCACCCGCACCACTAATAATCATCTCTGCCATTTCTTCAGCATAAGTGATTAAACAGGACACCACATGTGGAGGACAGTCAAACAGATGGCACAACGACAGTATGATTCAAGGATGAATAGGTGGATGGATGTGTGCAAAATCTGCCAGTTGCTCCATACTAATGTGTGTATGTGTTTATATACACTGTACACTTTGTGCATTGATGGGGGAAGGCTACTGCAGGTAGCGGTAGACTTTGAAGCAGTGGTTGCCAGAATCAGCGACCACAACGTGTCCATCAGAGGTAAGAGCCAGTCCCTGAGGGCCATACAGCGGGTCTGCTGATGTGTTGATGTAGGAGAGGAAAGAGCCACTGCCATCAAACACCTGAGAGAGAGCCAGACATTATCAGTGCATACACTTGTTTGAGATGCTTTGTCTTCCACTTCATTTGCAGTTTATGTACCTGGCACGTACAGTTACGTTTTTAACACTGAAAAATGTGGCAAAGTAATGTTAAGAACTCTGTGATTTGCCTATAATGATGTGATCCTGATTAATAGTGAACATTCATAGAAAAACTGTCACATAAATGAAAGGTATGAGGTATCCAGAGCCAGCTGAATCAAGTCAATAAAAATAATTTCTCACATAAAGAAACTTCATACTGAAACAAGAAAGTTGAATTTGTCCAGTGTGTAATTTAAGGGATAAAGAAAATTAGAAGTGGGTGTTAATTTTTGTTATTTATTCTACAGTATATGATCCATCCATCATATACTGTCTGAGATGAGAATGATACGATTCACAATATTTGAAGATGATTGTTTGATAATGTGAGTTTTTAAATTAGCAAATTATATAGAAAAATACTGTCCGCTGAGGAAAAGAAATTGTAACATTATAAGTTACTTATTGTATTTTCAAATTTGGACTCCACTCAGCGTTTTTCTGTACAAATGAAAATGACACACTACACATATTACTGATGTAGTATGGGCCACAAGATGGCATGATTTAAAAAAATCTAATACAATTTTCATGACTTATTTATTTTTAGGTCTTCAAAGTGCAGAAATGAGCCACAAAAAATACTAAATCCCGCTTCTACTTGCACTGTCTTTGGACTTGCTGAGGTGAGCCTGACCTGTATCCTGCTGTTGCCCCAGTCTGCTACTATGATGTTCCCATTAGCATCCACTGCCACTCCTGTGGGCGCGTTGAACTGCCCATTGCCCTCGCCATTAGAGCCAAACTTCAGCAAGAATTCCCCTTCAGTATTGAACACCTACGTTTTGAAATATGAACAATAATCAAACACTTGGTATGCCACAGTAGTAAACAACAACACATTAACCTTATCTATTGTATCTCAGCATCAACATCACGAACAATTATTACCTTAATTGCCTTATCATCCTAACAGAGCACTTCGCTCTCAGAGTGCAGGTTTACTTGTGGTTCCTAGAGTCCACAGAAGCAGAATGGGAGGCAGAGCCTTTAGCTATCAAGCTCCTCTCCTATGGAACCAACTCCCAGTCTCAGTTCAGGAGGCCAACACCCTCTCTACCTTTAAGATTAAACTTAAGACTTTCCTTTTTGTAAAGTTTATAGTTAGGACTGTTGTTCCATCATTGGTGATTGTGATAATATAGTTGACTCTATTGGTAATCCTGAAAAAGTGTGAAGTGTCAGACCCTCTCTGCCTTGCATATCCTTCCCTCTATCTGCGGTCATGAATATGACAGAGAGCTGCCTCCATCCTCAAAGACCTGTACTACTATTTAACTATTTATCCCCACCAAGAGCCGGGGTCTGTCGGAGGTTTCTTCTGTTAAAGGGAGTTTTTCCTCCCCACTGTCACCAAGTGCTTGCTCAAGGGGGATTTGTTGGGTTTTCCCTATGTAATAATATTGATAACAGTAAGGTCTAGACCTTACTTTGTAAAGTGTCCTGAGATGACTTTTGTTGTGATTTGGCGCTATACAAATAAAATTTGATTTGATTAACTGTTTGATTATTAGAGCAGGGCTTTTCACCCGATTGTGACCCAGGGACCACCACTGTGACTAGGAAGCAACCTGAGGACCACTGTTGTGTGGTTTATAGGCTGGTTGGGCAATATTTCAATCTTGAAAGTCTTGGCTCTTCTAAATTTTATATATTTGCATGAATTTGATTATTCACAAATGACAATTAATTAAGGGAAAATTATTGTAAAAAAATAAAACTGAAAAAAATGCAATTCCCATATTGAAAATGCATTATTGAATGCATGGTCAGGGACCACCTGCAATGTCTTCATGGACCACCAGGGGGCTGCGAACCTCTGGTTGAAAATCATTATTAGAGGCTTAGAGGGTACAAAAACTATACAAGACTAAGGGGGAAATTTTCAGAAATGTCTGTCGCACAAAACACAGTTTTTTTTTCCAAAATGTACTAATTATCACTTTATTAGACTTTGTACATACAGTATTTAATATGCTTCCAGTTTTCTGACACTGCACTTACCTTGACTGAGTGATTGTGGAAATCGGTCACAATTATTTCATTATTGTTGTTAACAGCAGCAAAGTGAGGCCCTGAAAAAGATATGTTTGTGATTCTTCCCCTAAAGTACACAACAGGAGTAATTCATTTAAAACTGCCCAAATGCATTTATGGAAAGAAAAAGTCAAGGTTGAATAGAAAAACATCAGTGCTATACAAAGTTATTCATACAGTGGTGAGTGGTAATGCATGCTGTTTATATAAACACCTGAATTAACATTACATTCATAATAACTGTATTTTGTCTGTGATGCATTTTCATCTGAAATCAGTGAAAAACACTGTGTCTGGGAGGTTTGCTAGCTCCTGTCTTATCTGTCTAACAGCAAACCACTCCAGAGTCAAAGAATTATGGAGAAGTTATGGTTCCTGGTTGGACATACAGTTTCATTCCACATGCAGGTGTGAGCTGGTTGGAGAGACTGCAGGGGGAAGTGCACATATTACCATTGAGTGTACCTGCAAACTGCCTGTCACCATTGCCGCGATTACCGAACTTGGTGACCAGCTTGCCGTTGAGCTGAAAGATGAAGATGCAGCAGGCCTTGTTGTCAACCACGATGATATGGCCGTTTCTGTCCACCGATACCCCCTTAGGTCCCATCAGCTTCCCTGAGCCAATCTTGTTCTGCAGCAGCAAAAGATTTTACAATCACATTAGGCCAGAAGTTTTTAATCATATACTTCATGAATGGGAAATTAGACATTTTAGATTAGTAAAATAAGGACTTCTTCTTCTTCATATCATATATTTTATTATGTTGTACTACTAACAATGTATGAAGCCTATACAATATGCTGACTCACCTTAAACTTCCCTTCACTTGAGAAGATGCTGACCCATTTGTTGTCATAGTCTGCAATGATGATGTCACCGTTTGGGTGGACAGCCACACCCGTCGGTCGCTGGAGCTGACCGGGGCTCCTGCCCCGAACACCGAAACGACTTTTGAACTGGCCATCATTTGAGAAAATCTGTATCGCACAAAGCACCAAAAGTTTTCTAATTATTTAACAAAAAATAAAAAGATTTTAAACTTGTTTGATGTGCACTACTTTTAACTGTATGGCAAAGTGTCGAGGCAGCACTGCTCAAACAAGCTTCTCGCTGCACCTCTTAACATTTACTCTGTCTGTAGCCTGGGGATTTTACCTGGACACACTGGTTGTTGCTGTCTGCTATCAGCACCTTTCCCAAAGAGGAGGAGGCCACTCCCTGCAGATTAGTGAACTCCCCTTTGTTTCTGCCTTTTGTACCTGGAAAACACAAAGTACAGAAATAAACACGAGTGGACAGGAGCTGTGACTTTCTGGGACTGCAGTCAAAATAATATGTGGAATCCATTCCTATCACATTTCCTGCAGTTTAATGTAAAGGGGTGACGCTTATTTGCTTCCTTAACTGAAAAGTCTGTGGAGATAAAAATATCCTTTTCAAGAGTGATCTGACCAAGAAGGCAGCATAAAATTATTACAACAATTAAACTGACAACATAAACAGGCTGTGCGTACAGTAAGTGGCCACACATTACACAACACTGACGAGTGCGATTTTTTTTCTTAAATAGATGTGAATTCACCAGAAGTTGTAACCTCTCTCAGTTTCAGATCTAGATCATCAATAAACTGAATCTGTATCTTGCTGTATCTGTCACTCAAACTTTACGTCACATGGTAAAGCAGACTGAATACACAGCCAGAACATGATGGCAAATTATGTAAAAATGTTCAAGGTCAAGGTCAGACTTTAAGATTAAGAAGATTTTCAGTTGATGTGTTGGCAGATCGATCGCTCTCTTACCGATTCTAAAGATGAGGTCGTCCTCGATGGGGTTCTCCTTCCTCCTCCCTGTGCTGTACATACTGGCTGGCCTCTTGATGGCTTTCTGCTTGATGTGCCCACTGCCTGGAGACTTCAGCCTCTTCTTCATGCCATCTGAAGTTGGTGACACATCTAGAGACTTGGTGGCCTTTATCTTAAAGGGGCTTCCTTTGATATGCTGGTCATATAAACGCAGCGATAAATGAAAGGTCCCCTCTTTGGGGGCTGTGAACAGGTACTCATAGGTGCCATTCTTGTTGTCCAGAATCTCTCCTTCACCTCTGGCTCCATCAGCTGAGGAGATTTCAGCAGTGATGACTGTGTTACCCATCTTGCATAGTTCTCCATCTTTGTCCTTAGTGGTTATGGTGATGGAGGTGGGTACGCCCATCACACAGTGCCGTAGCCCTTCACCTGTAGCCACAGACTCAGACGCCACTGCATTAGTTGTTACAATAGTACCCAGGTTGTGGATGGACTTCTTTAGTCCCTCTGTCTCCACAAGGAAGTCCAGCTGGTCATTCTCTTCGGGCTGCAGAGGCAGCTCCCGGTTGGCAAGCTCAGTGAGCCGCTCTCTCATCTGCTTCTTCACCAGCAGCACCTCGGCCTCGGTGCCATGACTCAGGGCTTGCTCTGTGAAGTTACAGCTGCTGTTGATGCCCTCCTGGCCATGCAGCAGGGCATCCAGCTGGGCCTGGAGCACCTACACATTGAAACACGAGGGGGCAGCAATGTTACTTTGTGTCTAGATAGACCAGTGGTTCCCAAACATTTTAGGCTTGTGACCCTTTTTAAATTCTGAAAACAGAAACATAAATGCATTTTCTTCTTTCTTTTTCCTTTATTCATCTCACAACCCCACAGATTTATCATGCTCCCTTGAGGGGCTCCAATCCCCAGGTTGGGAACCACTGAACTAGGCTGTCCTTCAGTAGTCAAGCCCACACACAAAGCCCAGCCACTGTTTAATAGGAAGGCAAATGTCAAGAATCCCTGCAAGAGCTCGATATCCGTGTAAAAACAAAGCACAGACCATCACTTCTCAGCAATAAAGGAATGATATCTCACTAAGCACATGTTAGCAAAAACAGTAGTAGCCAACACTGTTGGTACTCCTCATGTGCAAATCTTACTGCAGTGACTTCCCATGAGATCCTTCTGTTACAGTTACTGACAAAACCCAACAATCAACAGAACTGTTATGTTGGCAAGTCAATCAGATTCCAGTTTTTCTTTCTCGCTTCATTTAACATTTTTGTCAAAGGGCACCTGCAAAATGTTTTGCAAATGTTTCTTCAGTGCTACACTCTTTTTTTCCAACAACAACAAAAGATGTTATTTTTAAAAATAAAGCTGACGTGCCACCCCCCTAGCTTGTAAATGAAGACATGTTGTAATGACTATTGGGTCATGCAGCAACATGTAAATGTTTGCACCGGAGTACCAGCTTCATAAAAACAACTTCATATTTCTATGAAAGCAGGCATTGTGTTGTTTTCAAAGGGGATGATCAAATGCATGCGTCTAAAATTACCTTTCCCATGAAACAGGATTCCAGCTAATTCGGTGGCAAACCAGTTAATGTATGAAGTAACTGTGAGCTAACCATCAGTGATGCTGCATTAAGTGTTAACTAATCAGATAAACTCATGTTATTAATTTCTAATAGTAAACAATTTGTGTTACATTCTCCACTATTATTAGTCATTATGTTGCATAAGCATGTGTTTTGTATCATTTAAAGTCAACACAAGTCACATTTAGTTCATTAAATCTCTCTGTATGCTGTACTGTACTTCAAATGTTAATAGTTTGTTTTTTTTTGCTGCTCCTTAAATGGACTTGCACTAATTCTCTGTATTGCTGGGACTTCACCACACACTCATTAAAGCACCAAGGCAGACTCACCCACATCTGGTCATCACACTCCTCTTCTCTAACAAGAGAAGCCATTAAGACATCTGTCTCAGACTGGATTCAAATTCTTTATCTCAGCACCTTGTATCTTTCTGTTTATACTAATTCACTGAAGCAGTGAGAAGCAATACACTCTTCACATGTGCTGTAAAAATAGAGATCAAGCTACCGGTGTAGAAGGATAAAGGACCGTGTTCTCGCTGCACATGACACACCCATATCAACCCAAGGGTATATACACAAAACACTGGCTCCACCTATCTCCACCAACAACGCAGCACAAAGTCACATATCTGACTTTCCCTTGGGCTCTAGTGTTTTGACTGCACACCAGCCAGTGAATCATAAATCATTAGCAGCCCATGTGACACACCCCCCCGAGGGGGCGCAGCAGGCTCCTAACCAGGCCCAGTGATTGGCTGTATGGCCCAGGGTGGGGCACCAGCTCCCAGAACCACCCTCTTTCTGCCTGCTAATGGCCTATTAGACCAGCTGACCAGCTGATTAGACCCTGATACACAGATCAGCATAAACAACCTGATGAATAGCCTTCAACAGGTTAAATGCTTTCCCAGAATTAATTAAAACAAGGTCGGTATTCTCTCAATTTTAATGTTACACAGCTGTTTCATTTCATTATAATATATTTGCCAAACTCTTGATAAGAACAAATCAAAGCTTCCAGTGAATACAACCTCTTTAAGATTTGAATGCAAAGTGCTGTACACTGATTACACAAACTCACACAACACGGAGAATGACTGATCACAACCAGATAGGACCAAAGTCCAAACTAAACACTGAAACTACACTCTGCATGTGTCAGACTTTGTTATTCCACCTTCTGTTTGAGGCCA